AGGGTTCTTTTTTTTTTTAATCTGTGGTTTCAGGTGTCCACGGTAGAACATGGAACTGATCCCTCACGGATATAGGAATCCTACTGTACCTTAATACAGTAACCAGAAAGGAAAGAAATGGTCTGGGTGAATGAAAGTGGCCTAAATTATCAAATGGACAATTTATAACACTCACTTCATAATAAAACATTGAGCTATAACTTCTAGGTTGTAATTAATTTGCACAACCTTTCTGAATATTCAGGAGAGCTTCATAACAACCATCTAGCTGGCAGAGACTCAGTATAGTTGAGCAGCTCACCAATCAGTAACATTCCTGGGCTCACAGAAGACATTGCCCATTCAAGACCAAATCACTCTTAAATGCATTACAGCATAGATAGTGTGCAACTGTATACTGCAAGCCGTCTACCAGCCCTTCGGAGGACTGCAGCTAAACTCAAGAGGAAACAAGGAAGCTTGGGGGAGGGTGGGGATGTTGATAATGTGAAAATTACTGTGCCGTCTACCAGCCCTTAGGAGAACTGCAGCTAAACTCAAGAGGAAACAAGGAAGCTTGGGGGAGGGTGGGGATGTTGATAATGTGAAAATTACTGTTGCTCAGAAAGTCCCAGGGCTTTGGCCCTACAATCGCTGGTCTACTATACCACTGTATGTCAGACCATAATCAGAAATCTAGTTATGCTAATTTTCTTTAAGCCTTGACTTCCTTTCTTATCCATCACCTATATTAGAATCGAAACTTGATTCTAATACAGGATTCTAATATAGTTTGAAGTGGGGACAAGGCCATGCCGTTTCCAGTGAGACCGGATATGCTTGCCTGATACAGCTGAAAGCCATGTCCTTAGTATCTCCACACTTGGTGAGCAGCTTGAAGGGGAAACCAGACCAAGCCTTCCAATGGCAAAAGGCAGCTGTGAAGCACTTACCGTATTTTTCGCACCATAAGACGCACTTTTTTCCCACAAAACAGGGGGGCCAGACCAAGCAACGGCAAAAGGCAGCTGTGAAGCACTTATTTTTAATTCTGCCACCCCACTCCCAAGCTGCACCAGGGAAAGCTCCTATTCTAACAGACAGCTAGGCAGAGCGAGGCCTATGCTAGGCCATGCAGCCACTGAGACCTGCCTGTCTGTCAGGTTTCTCAGGTTTTCCTTGACACCGTCTCCAAGGGACCACAATTTAGGCGTGGAGAATTTGGGGATTTGGAGTTCAGTAAATGAATGGCACATAAAGTACTGTACCTACTGTGAACAGAGATGAACTATAACTTTGCAGAACAGAGTGGATAAAGATTGATGATTTTTTTAAAAAAAAATCAGATTGATTTAAATCACTATTTAAATTTTTAAAAGTCAAGCTTTAAAAAATTATATCATCAAAAAGAATCTGATTCTTAATTGGAGAATTTGGGGATTTGGAGTTCAGCAAATGAATGGCACATAAAGTACCTACTGTGAACAGAGATGAACTATAACTTTGCAGAACAGAGTTGATAAAGATTGATGATTTTTAAAAAAAAAACAGATTGATTTAAATCACTATCTAAATTTTTAAAAGTCAAGCTTTAAAAAAATATATCATCAAAAAGAATCTGATTCTTAATTTGATTTAAATCTAATCCAACCTGCTGCTGGGGAGTGAGGGCTTTTCCCTAGTAACATGATCTCTGGTTTGTAGCCCTGTCAGCTTTTAATTGAAAATGTGCTGCCATTTGAAGCCTGGAGAGATTTCAACCAGAGCTCTTGTTTGCAAACTGGAAATTGTACATGGCATAAGAGCACTAGTTTACAGACTGACGAGATGTAGTATGACATAGAAGCTCAGGTTTAGAAACTGGCAAGGTTTTGCCTTATGATCCATTTCGGTTGCAGTTTAGGCCACGGCATGGTATTGAAATAGCACAAGTTGCTCTGCAAGACAGTCTCCTAAGAAGGCAGATGGGGGAGTGTAACTCTGTTGATCCTCCTGATTCTTTCTGCGGCCTTTGATACTGACTGTCAACCATGGTATCCTTCTGGGAAGTCTTAACAAGTTTATGGATTGGGGACTCCATTCTCTGATGGTTCTGGTCCTTGATTGCTGATTCCTGATAGTACAGCTTGGGGATGTCTTCTCTACCCTTTATGATCTCTGCTATGGGTCCCACTGGGGTCAATTATCTCTCCAATGCTTTTTAATATCTACATGAAGGCACTGGGAGAAATCATACAGAGATTTAGGGTTCACTGTCACAGCTCTATCCTTCTTTTCATCTACAGGTTAAACTGTACAGGTCCTTCAGGGCTAGGTATCATTGGTAATGGATTAAATGAGGGGCAATAAAACTGAAACTTATTCAAATAGGATAGTGAACCTACTTTTAGGATGATCATTGGACTAATTAGAGGAACACTTACCTGGCCTTGATGGGGGTTACTCTCCCCCTGAAGGACTGGGTCTGCAGCTTTGGGGGTACTCCTGGACCCAGCTCTCTCTATGGAAACTGAAATATCTGCCATGGCCCAAAGTGCCTTTTATCAATATCAGTTGATTGTGTTGTTGTTCCCCTACCTGGGATAAGAAATGCCTAGCAACAGTGGTTTATGTATTGGTAATCTCAAAAATAGACTACTGTAATGCTCCCTATCTTGAGCTGCCCTTGAAAACACTACAGAAACTTCAGCAGGACCAGAATGCAGTAGCCAGATTGATTACTGGGACTGGTAAATTTGATCGTATATCCCCAGCCTTGGTGTACCTCCATTGGGTCCCTTTCTGTGTGCAATTCAAGGTGCTGGTTATGGCCTATAAAGCCCTTAAAGCAAAGCATAATATTTATATACCACTTAAAGCACTCTCTAGACAGTTCAAATATGCAGGCTACACATTGCCCCCTCCTAGCAAGCTGGTTCTCATTTTACCAACTATGAAAAGGTGGAAGGCTGAATTAACCTTGAGTCAGCTACCTGGGACTGAACCCGGGTTGTGAGCAGAGTTTTGGCTGCAGTACTGCAATTTAACCACTGCACCAACAGCTCCTTACAGTTTAGGACTGCAATACTTGCTGGAACATTTCTCCCAGAAATCAGCTACCAGTTCCACCTACTCTTCTCAATCCATGTTGGTAAGAGTGATCACGCTGAGGGAGGCCCAAAAGGTGTCTACAGGGAATTGGGCTTTTTTGGTGGTGGCCCCCAGTTTCTGGAACAAGATACCAACTGAGTTAAGATACACCAGGCGCCTTCACTTCTATATCAACTAGTGGTGAACTGACCATTTGTAATTACCTAGAACACAAGTGGGCAGCTTAACAAGTTCAGGGACAATTTGTCTTCCTTTGGACCTAGAAAGGCTACACAACCCCTTCTGATGCCCTTTCCTGCAAATTTCCCTCTCATTTTTTGCCCGCCAAAAGCAAATCATGCTCCCCAAGGGTATCTTTGGGAGGCTTTATTTTCTCTGTTCACTCAATTTTGCTCCCTCTAAGTCCTGTTTCAAACCTTAACAGACATTTTTAAGAAAGAGGAAGTGACCAGTTGCCCACTTCTGATATTGAAAGGGAGTACGTATTTTAAGACTTGAAATAGCCCTCAGAGATGGAATCTATGTACAGTGCAAATCACACACACCTATATGCCTCTTGGTAGGAAGGTGATTTTGTATTTTGGAGCCTTTTTTTTCACAGTGGGGTTTCCAGAGCTTATATGGAGTCTGAGGAAACTTGGGGGCCAACTAGGCCCTTGGGAGAGTTCTATATGGCCTGTGGGTCACATCTAGACGTTCAGCCATACCTTTAGCAAATGTCTTAAGACAGACAGAGGAATCAAGGTTATAGAATTTCAGTTAACCAGAGAATAAGTATTCATACTGAAGAAAGTTCATTCTTCCAGCATTTGTCCAGAACTATTTCTCTTCTGTCCATCTCACTCCTGCTGAATTTGATCCTAAAGAACTGGGATGCACTTTGTGATCTGGAAAAAAACATTAAGAGACATTGTTGGGAAGGGACATATTCATCCAGTCACATTCTCTGTCTGTTTTTAAGGGGAAATGCACATATTTTGCAGCATAGTCTCCTTTTAACTCTACTGACACGTCTGTGAAGCTTAGTAGTTCTTAAAATAATATACATTGTGGATTTTTTTATATCCTGACATTTAATGTAAAGAAGAAGCTAGAATAAGTTTCCAGTTGAGAGACAGCTATTTGCACTGTAATTTTGGAAGAAGGCTATTAGAAAGTCACCATTTTCTTTCTTTACCGTTTTCGTTACTTTTGGAAAAAGAAATATGAGCTTATATGATGCAGAGTTTTAAGAATGTTTGATTACTGTGAGTCTGAAATTTTTCCCGTATTGTCAGGCATTATTTAAATAAATACATTGATATAAATCTGCATGGAGTGAGAGTCTGTCTAGCACACAAATGGGGGACTTTGGACCTTCTACATATCTTGGCTTATAATTGTCACAGTTGCTTGTCATTGGTCGTGGCAATTGGGAGTTGTATTCAAACTATCTGATAGATCAAAAGATGCCCATCCTTGATTTAATACAGAATATTTCAACAATTGAAAAATTGTTTGGCAGCTCATGGAGGTAGAAGCAAAGTATTGAGTTGAGATACTTGCTTTTCACACAGAGAAAAGAGTGCAAAGCACATGCAGATTCCTAATGCTTATGATGCTTGTTAGGATAATTGACCTTTTTCACGTAGTGCTTAAGCTTTCTGACCTCAATTGGAGATTAACCCCTTAGTGCAGAACATCTTATACATAAATACTGAGCGTTATCCATATACATGCTGAAGGTTTTTTTTGTTTGTTTTGTATTGTTTTCGGTCGTTTTCAGTGTTACATGGGAGTCTGTGGACACTATCAAAGTGAACCATGTGCTTTGTTAGATGCATGCATATGATTCAATACTGGCCTTCAGCAGTTGTTACTGGAGCACATCCATCTACTTCACTAATATCTATTATTTCCTTCTTTTTGTGTTTTCTGTATGTGTCTGCTAGGTTTTAAATGAAGCTGTTGGAGCAATGATGTACCACACTATCACTCTCACCCGGGAAGACCTAGAGAAGTTCAAAGCCTTACGAGTTATTGTTCGGATAGGCAGCGGTTATGACAACATAGACATCAAAGCTGCAGGGGATCTTGGTATGTGTAGAGTCCATTCATTCCAGTAGAACCTCCTAACCAAGTTGTTCTTTTCTTAAAAGTGTACAGTGAATTAATTAATGGTCTGAGAATCATGGTTACGGAATGATGACTGAATTGTTTTAGAATTACATATCATATGTTCATAAGTTTGGCTTCTTCCACACAAAGAAGTAGTTTTGTATGTACTGGATGCAATACACTCGTCCCACAATCCACATGGGAGTTCCAGAGCAAATGGACAATTGCATGCCCCTAAGAGTTTCCCCCGTTTCATCTGTGAATTTCATAGGCTGAATTAACTGGGGTTTTTGAGTCCTGAAGTAGATGTGAACACCATTCATGGAGATTGCTCATTGTTTTCTATGCAGTGGGATAATTATTTGTTTAGTAGGGAGTTCTCTGTTGCTCCCATGAATAGTTTCCTGGCACAAACAGATGACCACAGTGCAGTCTCAGTCTGGGAAGTTCTATGTCTATTTCTGCCCTTTCTCCCTGCCTTTTTGCCTTCGGAGCTTTCAAAGGGCTCCCTCCGATGTCGGGCGGAAAGCCCTTTGAGAGCTCCGAAGGTGTGCCAATCGTGGTGGCAGGGACCCCCAGGGAGGTCCCCCAGGGCTTGCCCGCCACCATTACAGGAAGTTACAGGAAGTCAAATTTTGGCTGAATATCAGGAAAAACCTCTTAACAGAGCAGTACAGCAGCGGATCCAATTACCTTGGGAGGTGGTGAGCACTCGAGCACTGGAGATTTTCAAGAGAAAATTAGGCAACCATCTGTGAGATAGACTTTTATTTTGATTCCTGCATTGAGCAGGGGGTTGGACTCAATGGCCTTATATGCTCCTTCCAGTTCAATTATTCTATGATCCTTAAGGAATTTAGCTTCTTCAACATGCTTAGTGGGAAGTGCCTAGCGCCGACTTCTCTGTTGTCACTTTCTCCATATGATGACAGGAGAGTTTGAAGATAAATTCCTGTACAGGTTTTTTGTTTGTTTGTTTGTTTAGTCTCTGTGGACACAAACATAGGGGTTTTCTTGCTCCTGTGCAACATGTTCTAAAAACTAACTAGCTTAAAACTTTTGAGTTTTGGTGGGAAGCCGAGATAATATTCGTGGGACATGGTGGCGCTGCAGGTTAAATTGCAGAAGCCTCTGTGCTGCAGCGTCAGAAGACCAGCAGTCATAAGATCGAATCCACGCAACAGAGTGAGCTCCTGTCGCTTGTCCCAGCTCCTGCCAACCTATCAGTTCGAAAGCATGCAAATGCAAGTAGATAAATAAGTACCACCATGGTAGGAAGGTAATGGTATTCCGTGTCTAGTCGCACTGGCCACGTGACCACAGAAACTATCTTTGGACAAACACTAGCTCTATGGCTTGGAAACGGGGATGAGCACTGCGCCCTAGAGTCGGACATGACTGGACTAAATGTCAAGGGAAACCTTTACCACATAATATTCCCACATTCCCCCTCAGTTCCTTTTTGTCTGCCTAACTGGCAGCACATCTTTAGGAACCTTTGTTGCTTCTTCACCTCGCTTGTTCGTGGTCTCTTTCCCTCGTTCTTTTGTCTTCTTCTATCTTGTCACTGTTTTTGTTCTCCTAAAAAAACACATATCTGCCTTTGCTGGCCCATGGCACCAGGCTTTGTTCCATAAGTGTTCTGACTGCAGATCCCAGATATCTTATCTGACAGACACTGCTCTGAGGCAGAGGAGGCACTTAGAATTATACCACCTGGGTAACATTTTCTTGGGTTACCTCCTGGGTAACCAGTGCCTGCAAACGTGGGTGCCATGGCTGTGCTTTGCAGCACTGTTCCCTTTAATTTTCAGTCCTGCTGGATGGGGCTTTGCCCCTTTTTGTTCACAACTCCACCCTCCGGCATTCACAATTCTGCACCCCCCTCATGGGGTTCCGGCCATGACTGGAACCAAACCGGCAGGAAAACTCGCTGTGGGTGCACAGGTGGGGTGGGGTGGACACTGTACGGAGTAAGGTGCAGCATTATGTGGCCACACAGTTTAAAGGGAATGTTGCCCAGCATAATGGGCACTTTTAAGGGAGTAAACAACCTCTTCCTCATCTGAGAACTTATACAAACATCAGGCTCCTTATCCTACAGTTACCTCCAAATGACCCCCATCAGCTATACCAAAGATGTCTTCTATTTTGTTCACCCTGAAAACTGACCACGTCAGTACCAACCATGTTGACCTCATCAATCTCAGTCACAGTGAGCTGTACTAACTGCCCAACAACTGCAGCAAAGACCAGGAGACCTCCAGAGAGTGCAGTAACTGAACCCAAGAAGGAGAAGAAGCATAAAGATGATCCATCATGCTCACCTTCCCTGACAATATTGTCCTTGCCAACATGGCCTCTTACATCTCAGTTATTTACAGAAACTTCCACTTGCAACAAAATCATTGTGACCCCTTTTCTTAGGTATGACACTGATTGAGTCCTAATGCCAGGACAAAACAGATCCACCAGTCAACAGTTCTTCCTCTCTGAGGGGAGATCTGAAAGAAATTTTCAGCCCTCATGGCTGGCTTGATCACCCTGGTTCTGTTACAGCCAATGCAGTCTTCCACTGAGCAATCCCTAGGCTCAGATTGTCAAGTCTTATTCCAGATTCAGCATAGAGGGCCATTCAGCAACAAGACCAATGAAAAACTAGAGCACAATGACAAAGTACAAACAAAAGCCAAGCATTTTGGTGTCTTGCTTCACTTTTCTTCTCATTCTAGCTCCAGACAAAACCAGTTTCGTTCAGGCTACCAGTACCATAGAAATTTGGTATACATGGCCATACAACAACCAGGATCACAGAACTGTCGAGCCTCTTGCTTCCAGTATAAATGTGGCTGATACCAAACTACTACAAAGAAAAGACCACCATTGTCTTCTAGACCCAAGTGTTTGACTCTTCCCCATATCCCCTCTTCATTAACAGAGTGTACAGCTGCTACCACCATAGGCAGACGATCAAAGTGGATCACTGGTACTATCCATCATCAGATTGAGATGGGGCGTAGAATTGCACACACTACCACCACAAAATATTATGAGGAGCACACCACCATCCCCTCGATTACAAGAATTGTGACTGATATTCACCAAAGGAGTAATCCTGGATGGTGGATTGCATACCATCCTGAGTCTTTATTATGTCTACACCTTCATTGTGACAAAGTACTTTACGAGGGCATTCTGCTTCTCCTCCACCAAGAAAACTGGCATGTTTTCACAGATCTCCAAGGTGCTTACTTTCACATTGGCTTACAGGTCTTCTGCAGGAGATTCCTCCATTTCATGATGGGTACTGACACCTTTGAATTCAAAGCCTTGCCCTTTAGGTTCACCACCACCCCATGCATTTTTACAAAATGCTTGGCTGCTGTTGCAGTCCACCTTGATACCCATGGGAATCATAGTGTACCTTTATATAGACAGTTGCCTGGTAGTAGGTACATAGAAGGCTACCCTTGCTCAAGACCTTTCAGTCACTCTACATCATCTTCTAGACCTAAGCCTCATAGTCAACAGACTAAAGTCTAAGCTGTGCTGGCTGTTTCCATGAAGTATATGGGAGTCACACTTGACACATCTACAGTATAGTGACTGCCAGCCCTCTCATTATAAGGGCAATAAAACCCAGAAGCATCCCAGCTCATACATGCTCCTGACCACTGAACAGTCTAACATTCTAGGCTTGGTATCTCTGCACCAAACATGAGATTTGGCCAATATTCCTTCATGTATCAGGCATAGGAATCATCCAGATGTTTGTCTAGCGGCAACATGGTCACAGTATTCCACATTCATCTCTCACAGTAGAACTGGTACAAGAACTTGTCAGGGCTCCAGTTTTGGCAGAACTGCTTGGCATCAGTTCTACAGGTATTAAGTCAGAAAAAGGGGAAACTGTAATCCCAGGATGTGGAATATATAATGCTCTTTATTCCAGTATAAAATACCCAGTGTGTAAAAGTGTGTTTATTAAATTCTAATTAATTCTTTTTCTGTTTATTTGGTCTGTGACCAGCTTCATTAATCAATCCAAAAAACAGAAAAAGGCTGAGACACGTTGGGCATTTTATACTGCCATAAAGAACATTGTATTTCCTACATCCTGAGACTACAGTTTCCCCCTTTTTTGACCTAATATTTCAGTGGATGTTCCAGTTCCTTTTGTTACTATCTAACCTACAGTGACAGTCTACCCTCTACAGGTAAGCTTGCTAGTCTCCCATGTGTACAAAGTCCAGAGAGCCCACCAAAAAAAAGTCAGGTAGCTTACCTGTAACTGTGTCCCTATAGGTGATTGTGCCACTCACACAACCACCTCCCCTCTGGGTGTCTCAGTGCTTGATAGATCAAGAGCTAAGGGAAATGCAGGTAGACCCAGAGGATATGCGCACTGGAGATGGGTGGGATTCCTGCCAAAACTCAGCATTCTAAGCAATAATGGTTCCAGAACAATGCTGTACATGCACAGGTAGACCCATGTGTATGAGTGCCTCAGGTGATCACTTGAAGAAACACAGTTACAGATAAGCAACCTGTCTTTTAAAACAATTTTCTATGGTAATGGTTCCCAGCCTTGGGTCCGTAAGCAACCTGTCTTTTTTTAAAAAAAATTAAAAAAAATCTATGGTAATGGTTCCCAGCCTTGGGTCCCCAGATGTTCTTTGGCTGTAACTCCAAGAAACCCTAGATAGCACAGCTAACAGTGAAGTCTTTTTGGAGTTTTAGTCCAAGAACATCTGGGGACCCAGGGTTGGGAACCACTGTTTTGTGGCATATAGACAGTATCTGCCTTGGTTTATTTTTCTCTGCAGTGAAGTGTCTTGTTGCCTCACAAACAAGCATAGACAACTAATTATCTTGTCCTTAACTAGATTTAAGAATTATAACATATTGGCCATTTCTGTCTGCTGCTATAATGCTTGGGAGCTGTTTGCAAGCAGTATCGTTAATTGTTTTACCACTAATGAGTACCACTGCATTAGCATATAAAATAAAATTGATCTTTATAGGGTGCCAGCTGTATATGTTTGTCGATAGGGTGTCATTAAAGTGATTAATTGCTTCAGAGTACTTCATTGTAAATCTTAATAAAACTAAAGAAACCACATATCCTTTGCAGCAGTCATTCTAAACAAGACAATTTGCCTGATCATTTACATAAAAACTCGCATGTTTTCTTTACAGCACTAAGCTGTCAAGAAAGTTGTAGAGTGAGCAGCTTCTTGGGAAGGAAGAGGAGTTGTTGCCTTCAGTAGCCAAGGGCTGTCTAATCAGGAATATTCTGAAGACTTCCTTCTGAGGGCACACCCACACAGGAGTAGAGAAGGCATCACCTTCCGGATGTTGGTAGACTCCAGCTTCCATCAGTGTAGAAGCTGTAACTGTGGCTCTGTTAATCTATTCAAATATATTTTAAAAGATCTGTAGCATAAAGAGCTTGGGGCAACAATTGGCATCCTAACTGTGGTCTAACTTGCTATAAGAAATGTCTTCGCCCCGTTCTCCTTATCTCTGTCAACATCCTGCTGACTTTACATCCTGGGAGGGTTATATGTTTGCTGACACAGTATCATTAACTTTGTTCATTTGTTTATTTATGTATTTGTTCTTGATTCATTGATTGGCATTGCAAAATTTAAAGTGTAAGATCTGTTGGTGGAAGAGAAGAAACACTTTTTGCCAGCTTTCGGGCCCTTTAGTTACTTTGGCCTAAATCCAGTTGTTAATTGCAATTGCAGTGGACTCTGAACAAATGAGAACTTAGTAAATAGACATTAGTGTAGAGTTTATTGATTCATTGGGTCTACTTCAGTTGGGACTAACAGTGGGATGTAGGCCTTGGCATGGATTACAGTTGCATTTTTTTTCTCTCCACCTTTTGGTACATTGCCTATGGCTTACTTTTGCTGGCTTTTAGTAGTCATACACTTACCTTCCAACTTCACATTGTTTTCCATGTTACCTCCAGCTCTTCCCATCAGTAGAATGAATTCTAGGCTTATTTGAGGGAAGGTTGCCATTAATGGGGAAATGCCAAAATATCAATGTGAACAGAGCTTGACAATGTTGTCTGGTCACAATTCATGTGGTAGAAAGGCAACAACATTACAAAAAGGGGAACCTGGGTTCATGTCTCTCATTAACGTAAATCTCGCCTGGTTGACCTTGCATCTGCTTACATGGATAAGGGAAAGACTGTTTTTTGCCCTCAATTCTATGGATGAAAGATGGAATAGATTAATTTGGTATTCTGCAAGTAGCACATCTGGGTAGTCTGTATCTTTGAAGTTATACTTTGGGCACGTGAGAAGACAAGACTCACTGGAAAATACTATAATAGTGGGAAGAGTTGAAGGCAGCAGGAAAATGGGGATATTGAATGTAAGTTGTGTTGACGCAATAAAGGAAGCCAGAGCTGTCAGTTTGCAAGACCTGAGCAGCAGGGGAGTGATAGGCCCTTTTCAAGGTTACTAATTTGAAGGATGACCATTAGTCAGAAGTGATTTGCTTCAGTCTGTTCTTTAAGGTTGCATGGGATAGTAATGTGACAAAACTGAGAAATGAAAAAAAAACTAAGAACAGAAAGAGTTTTGCTTTCGAAGTACTACAAGACAGATAAAGGGAAATATTGTAACACTACTGGAGCAACATGATTTTGTGAGCGTGGGAAGTAGAGAATTATGCTGAGCTCTTCGTCTTTCTAAGGAGTCCTTGCTTCACAAATGGCAAGCATGTTTGAAAAAACATTGCTATATTTCTCCAAAGCTGCTTAACCGTCTTAACCCTGTCCTGGTAATTCGAATGGCCAGGCATTACCTTGTAAGAGCAATGCTGTCCTGTGAGGACAAGTCATCTTCTTACATGTAGACAGGAGAGGTAAAGCAGCTCCTTTCAGGATATCAAGGGCAGAATGAGATGAATGCAAACTGTGCATTAAGGAGTACAGAATCCAGTGTAAGAATCTCCATGCAGCAGCATGGCACTTAAAATAAAGCTGGACTTCACATTGCCTGTGTGCAGGGCAGGAAGGTAAAGGATAAAGAATCAAGCCCTCTGCTGCATATCTTCCAGAGAACAGTAGCGGTGCTGAAAGCCTGAGATCCTTTACTACCACCCACAAAATGTCAGGAATGATTTCCAGCTAGTCCTTGTTGACGTTTGCTAGAACCAGCAGAAAAAGTTGGGTGAGAAAAATGCATCTCTGGGGAAAATTGGTCTCCTTGATGCTGCCTGCATGGATGAGTGGAGTGAAGCTTCATCTGGAGAGTGCCTCTTGCAGCTGCAGTACTTCCTCACCTCTCCTCACCAATCTACATGAGTAGCACAATTGGGGGGAAATGAAGATGCTGCTCTGTGTCTGCATGCCTTCCCTGAGGCTGCCTTTCTTGGCTTCTGAGTGCAGCAGCTCCCAGAATCCCCGAGCCAGTAGGGACTGCTAACTAGGGGACTCTGGTAGGTGTAGTCGAAAAAAGTAACTTTTCCAAACTCTGTGAGAGATGCCAGCACCTGTGCTTGTATTGGTGTGATACTTCCTTACAATTGATCTCCACAAAAAATTGTGTCCTTTCCATCCATGCAAAAAAGTAACATTAGACTTTGTGATCCATACATTTGTGGTGAGAGTAATGTGAGCAGCGGCCAGAGTGGAAGCTGGTGACTTCTACTTAGGCAAGGAGCTCTTTGATCAACATTTTGCCAGTTAGTTTTATTCATTAGATATACGTGGTGGCCCTTAATTCTCCACGGGAGTCACAAGAGGTGCCTGCTTCAGGGTTTGTGCAAATGTTCAAAAAAAAAAAGGCACATTTTGGATTGTACTTCGGGTGCCTGCTTCAAGGTTTGTGCAAATGTTTAAAAAAAAGGCACATTTTGGATTGTACTTCAAAATCTGATTGAAACAATACCTTTGGAAACAATAGCTCAATGGAAAAGCATGTGCTTTATACTGGTGAAGTCCCAGGTACCGTTTATAACATCTCTGTTTGAAAGGATTGGGTAGTGAATTTTTGACAATCCCAGGCTAGGTAGACAAGTGAGCATATAGCCTTCTGCATTCTTGTGAGCCAAAATGGCTCTGCATGTGGAAAGCTAGCACATCTAGGGAAAGGGGGGCCTAGAGCCAACCCTGCAATGTACTGAATGTTTATGTACGATTTTCATGTCATTTAGCATTTCTACACTACTAGTACCTCACAATTTTCATGTCAAAGCTGCAATCTCTTAATATATCCCTATAGCAACATGAGTGTGGATTTAAGGCTTCTAATTTTTATGACTTACAAATTTTCCCCAGAGGTGCTATATATATTTGAATATACAGTATATATTTGAATCGGTTTAATACTATCTTATTTGGCTGGATAACTCAGTGAATTAGGTAACTAGCTGTGGAGCTAGAGGTTGAGCGTTCAATTCCCCACTATGCCTCCCAGGATAAAGGCCAGCCTGTGTTGCCTTGGGCAATCGGCTCAGTCACAGGATGTCCCCAGAAAAAAGGAATGTGGTAAACCACTTCTGAGTTCTGGCTACCTAGAAGACCTTGGAAAAGGGTTGCAATAAATCAGAACTGACTTGACAGCACACATTTATTAGTAGTAGTAGTAGATCCAGGATGTTGTTTTCCAAGTTTTCTGCCCTGCTCACCAAAAGGTTTTTCCAGGAAACAAATTACTTTCAAGTCTCACAAAATAAGCTTAGAAACACTTCGTAACTACTGTGAATAGAGTAGTCTTGGGGCAGGAGGCTGGTGGAAGAAACATACGGATAAGCTTGCTTTAGTGAGAAGCGGGTGATTTTTCTAACTTTTTCATTGATTGCTAAGATGTGGGTTTCTGCCCCGGTCTCCAGGAATTGCTGTTTGCAACATCCCCTCAGCAGCAGTCGAAGAAACCGCAGATTCCACTCTCTGCCATGTCCTGAATCTCTACAGGCGGAACACTTGGCTCTACCAGGCACTCAGAGAAGGGACTCGGGTGCAGAGTGTTGAACAGATTCGGGAGGTGGCTTCTGGCGCAGCTCGTATTAGAGGCGAAACTCTGGGTCTGATTGGATTCGGTATGTTGGGGATTTCTGGAGGAAACAGTATTTTAAGACTTTAAATGTTTGTTTTCCAGTTAAACAATGAGGATTGGGGTTTTACAAAGTCATTTTCACATCGATGTTTCAGACATACTTTGCAGCTGTGAAATTTGTTGTTGGAGGAGGCAAAAGTTCAGTCAGAAAACAAGCTGCACATATGCCTCCATGCACACATGGGAAGATGCTTCATGATCCTCCTCTGGCTGTTTTGAAAATTCAGATTTCTCTCTGCCTACTGCTTTTCTCACAGAAGATAAAAGAGTATTTCCATTCAGGATGGGTAACATTTGGCCTCCAAATGCTTTGGACTTGAACTCCCATCCACCATGACCCAATGTCGAAAGAATATGGCAGTTGTCGGCCAAAACCTTTAGATTCCCTGCTCCTGATTCAACTTTTACTACTTTGTTTTAGGACACACGCAGAGACCGTGTTGAGACTCAGCTTGTCCTTGTTTGTTTTGGGACATACACATATCCTGCATATGAGGAATTCAAAATTCGTAATTCCCTCTTTCATTGCATTGTGAAGAACCAGGAATTGCAGCCCATCAGTAGAGCAGAGGGTGGCTTCTTATCTGAGCTTGGGAGGAGCTTGGGTCAAAATGTTGAGGCAAGCCCTCCTCCTCAGACCATGGGCCACTTCTGTAGTAGCTGTAGCAGCTTTCTGCATTGGAGGTGTTCAATTGCAGGTTGAGTTTCTAGAGCTTTATTAATTCCCCAAATTGCTGTTTGTTCTTTGAACAGCAGTTAGGAGACTCTTTGCCCCTTTATCCACCCTGCAGTCTCTGTGCTAGACCAGCCAGTGGCCATTTGCTCTTGCATTTACAGACGTCTCAACTTTTCCCTGTATGCCAGGCACTGAATTGCCCATTTGTGCAAAGTCTCTTAATGAGCTGTTGCAATCAAAGAAAGGTATGCTTGAGCCTGTCCATCTGTGCCTAAATATGGAAGATTAGAAAGGGGTGTTTTTCTGTTCATCATTCCACAAAACCAGCTTTTTCAACATGAAGGCTTAGCTATTGCTAGTTATTTGGCTTTCTCTACATATTCTTTTTGGGTTTTTTTTAAGGAGAAGAAGACTCCCATCTTGATTTAGAAGTCGGGTAGTTGAGCCAGGCAGTGACATTGAACTGGAATGACATTGTGGATAATGACCTGCTGATTGCACTGCAGCTGTCCCTCTTTATCAGAAGAGCCTTATTAAACCTTTGCTTCCAAACCATGACAGTTGTCTTAGTCATGCCCAATTAAATAGCCATTCAGCAAGAGTGCAGAAGGAAAAGAGAGGAAAACCCCCTACAGCAAACAAGTTGCTCTTATAATAAATAAGATTCAGAAGGGGCTTGCTGTGGTTATTGTTGTACCAAAGTCATTCATAATAAGATTTTGTTAACGCGCCTTTCTGTTTTAGATCAGAATTGAGCGACCATGCAGAGGCTTAAGTGTGTCTGGAACATTGGATTTTGGGGACCACTCTGGGTGCTGAAAAATCAGTATTCTGATGCTTTGGAAGGCAGTATTGCTTGCAAAAGAACTCCATGCCTTTATCAGCTAATCTTCCCCACTCATGCACCAATTTAAGAAATTGACACTACAGTACTGATAGCTCTACTGCCCAGTGAAAGCTGGGGCATGTCTCTTGGTCCACATCACAGTGTCTGTTCATGTTAGTCACCTCTGAATTGCAGTTAATGGACAGTTTTGAAAAACGTCATAGCTGCTTATGCCCTAAAAGCAGATTCAAGCGATGGATGCCCTTTGCACACTGCATTATGCTCTCCATGTTTGACCTTCCTGTAAATCAGCAGTAAGACTGTCTGTCCTAAGAATTTGTCCCTTAGAAATTTTAGATCAGCTGGAAGGAAGGGAGAGAGAAAGGAGAATGTAAAGCAATATGGACACTTCCTTCCATATTTAAAAATAAAAATGGATTTCCTACTCTCTCTTGAGGGTCTATGAAACCTTTTTTTGTATATCTATTGCCTGCTTCCAAAGCCTGGAAAGACTAGGTATGGGGCGAAAGCCAAGCTGCACGAAGGGAGCAACAGAAGTGACCTTGTAGGACAGCTCTGTGCTACTGAGACCTTTGTTTCCTACAACAAGTGCCACATTGCAGCAATTTCTGATGAATGAATAATATGGGAGAAAATCAGGGCGGCATGGATGCCTTTGCAGTGGTGGGAGAAAACATACTTTCCTAGCCAGTCATGTTGGTGGGTACTTTAATGCCCTCTTCAGAATGTATTCAGTGCTGCTTTCCCACCAAAACTATGATGTCAATTCACTGCTTTTGTTCTCGGCTCAGGTCGAACTGCACAAGCAGTCGCTGTTCGGGCCAAGGCATTTGGATTCAACGTGATCTTCTATGACCCTTACCTGCAAGATGGCATCGAAAGGTCCCTGGGAGTCCAACGGGTCTACACGCTTCAGGATTTGCTGTACCAGAGTGACTGTGTGTCGTTACATTGTAACCTCAATGAACACAATCACCACCTCATCAATGACTTCACGATTAAGCAGGTAATTGTTAATGGAAAGGGGAATGTCTTGATTGGAACATCTTATCCAAAAGATGTAGAATGTGTGATTTTTCCATGCTGGTTGATGCAAATAGTGGTCATTTATATTTGTAACTTTAGGAAAATGGAGAGCTCTCAATCTGTCTTTTACCTGTTGTACATCAGATGATGGCACTTTAGCAGATCAGTTTAAATTTTACCCAGAGACCTTTGGCTAGAGTGGACTTGTCAATACATTGCAGAGCTGTGGTGCTGCAGAATATTGCAAACCAAAGACGACTTCTTCCTCCTTTTTTCCTTTTTTGGTTTTAGTTAGAGCTTGACTAATGTGACTCTTGCCTATATCAGTGGGCTTTCTAAAACCTCGCCCATTGAGTAACTGGGCAACTTGTTAGTCAGCAGGCATAAGAGTCTTCTCTTGCCACTGTTGTCTTTCTTTGAATAATTATTTCAGATGTTATTTTGCTATAAGATGCTGCGGTATGTAGTACAATCAGTCTAGATTGGGCAAGGCATAAATCTTGTTTTCTGATCATGTTCAACATAAATGGCAGCTAGGAAGTTGAAAAAAATTGGGCATTAAATTCAACCAGAGGAAATCTCAACTCTCACAATTGCTCTTGTTCCTCGTTCAGCAGTGATTCCTGGGGAAGCTCTTCCATATTTCAGCTAATTTCTCATTGATGGGAGAAGAATTCACACGGATCTGTGGCTGCCCTGCTGTGTGCCTCCTGTGATGCTTTGGTTCTGTGGTTATCTTAATGGCCTCTGTGGAAAGAGCACATAAATAAGCAGCAAATGGGCACTTAGCATAATACTCATAGTGTAGCATTTTGTAACCTAGGAAAGCTCTTGGGGGACCCAGATTATCTCTGGGAAAAGTCAGTGCTTCCACAAAAGGGTATTCAGCCACAGGATGTCTATTTGTCATAGCTGAGGGTTCAGAAATTCTATTTGTAGTCATTTTGAAGCAGAAACACAGGAGACTTCATGCAGCATTTTAAATATATATGCATATATGTATGCATTGTGCTCTTTCCTGAACTGTTTTTCAGGTTAAAGCCACAGTGACCAAATGCTGAGTAACTTTCCTCTAGATCAGCTTCTTGCACCTTGATGTGAACTTGATACATGATGGCTTGGAATTATGGGCCTTGTGATCTGGCACATCAGGGTGGGGGGGCAGCTTGGGAAAAGGTGTTGGACTAATGGCTACTTCTGAGTACTAATGGCTACTTCCAAGGTGAACAAAGGAAGAGACAGGTCTCAAAGTAGACAAAACAGAGCCATCCTTCTAAAAGTTTGTTTTTCTTACCGGACAAATTTGTGTTTATGTAAGTTGCTCTTGCCACCCATATTCTGTTTGTGGCCTTGCTGTGAGTAATTTGCCACTGTGGGAATAGAATGTAGGATGAAGTAGGCCTTTGACAGGGTCAGTCCATGTTCTGAGCAGGAGAAGGGGAATCCAGCCTACAGTTGTGGGGGAGCGTCTCCCCCACTCTCTACTGAACTATTGGCATTTTCTGGTCTAGACCAGCATGGTTTTTCTTATGTCAGTAAAATGCATGAGGATTCCCCCCCCTAAAGAAATATTTGTGAATATGCTTTGAGCATTCTTCATGAAACACATTACTTCTTTCCAATTTATGGGCTACACGTCCCTTTGTTCATCTCAATTATCTCGCCAGCCTCATGGTCTCACTATGGTATGGTAGTGGCCATTAAGGGTGATGGACTAAGATAGGAGATCTGTAAAGGTCTCTAAAATCAAAGGAAAGGTGGCACACCTCTGTGCAGTCCTTTCATTGACAGCCTGAGTGAGGCAGTTGTTGCCTTCCAGTTTTGTTGGACTGCAACTACCACTATCCCCACAATTGGCTGTGTTGGCTCAGGCAGATGGGAGCTGTAGTCCAGCAAGAAATATCTCACCCACACATTCAGTGTGTGCCTGCAAAAGTTAGACAAGGTTGTTTCATCAAAAGGAGTAAGTAATGACAGCACTCTGCTCAACTGAAACTACAGTAAGAACGATGTGTGAATAGACTGTTCTCTTCCCCCCTTTTTTTTTGTCTCCCAACAGATGAGACAGGGAGCATTTTTGGTAAACACAGCACGTGGTGGTCTGGTGGATGAAAAGGCCTTAACTCAAGCCCTGAAGGAAGGGAGGATACGAGGGGCAGCACTGGATGTGCATGAATCAGAACCATTTAGGTAAGTGTTGCTTCTGTACAGTTCCGTACATTTAGGCTGCCTACTATCAAGTGGTGCTGGTCACGTTCTGTCTGTGCAATTGTGAAACCTCAGATAGAGAGAGAGAGGTATAAAGCTTTGTGGGAGACCATTTGGATATGCCACTCTGGAAGATTAGGCCAGAATGGAAAAGTCCCTTTTTCTGTTGTATCTCCTTCTGCTGGTGTAAATATATTTCTCTACCTGTGGCTGGGAGTCTCAGCTAAATCTCCAGTGAAGTTGTGTTATTTTGTTGCACCAAAAACCACAGAGAATCTTGTGGCCCCTTAAAGCTTAAACCCATCTCTTCTAAGGCCAGCTAGAATTCTTAAGTGAAAGGGGGCACAAACATTTAGCCACTTTTATGTCAGACACTCCATGAAGCCAAGAATGCTAGTGCACAGGCGGCAGCTTTGTCTGTTGGCGAAGACAGGTATAAGCGCGATTCGCCCCCTAATCCTGTGATAACTGAGGCAGACTTGGCAAGCTGCATTGTACTGACTACATGCTCACAGTGAAAAAGCTTCAAAATTGCCACACAGGAAACATCACTGCCAAATGCCACTGCTTAGGAATCAACTAAGACCCCACATAATTCAGGTGTTTGTTCTATAAAGCTCTTCTGAGGGACTGGACTCGGGTCCAGAAAGACAGTTGCTCTTGAAAAACCTGGAAATACTTCTTCGTTTTGTTGTTCTAATACTTCGAAGATATTTCACCGGTGTTTGACAATATTAGACCAGACCAGCTTTTCTTGGGAATCTACCAATTCTCCCCCTGAGGAACAGTTAGGATATGTTCTGCAGAGCCTAGGATTCCATTTTCAAAAGAAAACAAAATAGAATAATTTTTTTAAAAGTTTTTCTCTGAGAAAGGCACTTTGAACTGGCCATCATCATCTTGCCAACAGCCCTTTGCTCACTCCTGTCCTAATACAAGGTGAACAAGAAATGTTGTATGAAGGTATTTGTTTTTCAATTCAGGATTTGTTTCTTTGTCCTTTTCTTTTTGGTAGCTTTGCTCAAGGGCCACTGAAAGATGCTCCTAATTTAATTTGTACGCCACACACTGCTTGGTACAGTGAACAGGCCTCACTAGAGATGAGAGAAGCCGCTGCAACAGAGATACGCCGAGCTATCACAGGTACAATAACGTGGTTTCCCTCAGAATAACTGAAATCTGATGGCTTCCATCAAGGCACCACCCGAATGTGCTTTGCTGCTTGTGGCCTTTCCCGTGGCACATACAGCACGTAAAAGACATGTTCAGTGTGACAGTCATTGGTTGCAGCAACATGCAGATACATTGCAGATACATACTTTTTCACAGTATATGTTTGCTTTGTGTACCTGTAGCTGTGGCAAGTGTGTTCTTCTTTTGTGGACGGGGTGGTACCTGTACGTGTGTGTGGCAGGAGAGGGTGCCTTCACATTGCTTTAAATTCAGCATAGTCACTGTGTGCATATTTTTATTTGTGCTTGCTTTTTAACCCTTTTGCCAGCTTTTTGTCCAAAACTGAGTCACAGTTTTGAGCAACCAGCAGGAGGGGAATAAATTTAAATAAATGTAAACCACCAACAGAATTAATGAGATCTGGGCAATCTGTTTCAGATTACATTCAACATGTCCTGTCTCTCCCTCCTACACATGTAACAGCCCAAGAAGTTCAACTGAGATCAACTTACAGTGGTGCCTTGCTTAACGACGTTAATTCGTTCTAGTGAAATCACTGTAGAGCGAAAACGTTGTAAAGCGAAAATAAAAAACCCATTGAAACGCATTAAAACCCAGTTAATGTGTTCCAATTGGCAAAAACTCACCATCCAGCAAAGATCCTCCATACGGCAGCCATTTTTTGTGCCTGTATTAGCGAGGAATCCATCCCTAAGCACAGCAGGGAGCCATTTTGAGCACCAGTGGCCATTTTGAAAACCTGATGATCAGCTGTTTTGATTGTCGTAATGCGAAGAATCGGTTCCTGAAGCAGGGAACCGATCTTCGCAAAACAAAAAAAACTCATTTAGACCATTGTTTTGCGATCGCAATTGCAATCACAAAAACATCGTTGTGACGAGGATTCATTGTCATGCGGGGTAATCGTTAAGCGGAGCACAACTGTATATGAAAGTACTGAGTTGAACAGTTTTCTCTCTCATGCATATCAGCTGAATCAGGAGTAATCTGTTTATCAAGTTATGTCAAGTCAGGTTTAGGCTGCCACTGAGTGTCCCAGTGACAGCCCTTTTCTCATCCAAGAATCTCACTGGCAGCATGACTGCTCCTCCTCCATAGATGCTTCAGGTACTCCTAGTAGAGACATAGTTTTCACATTCCCTTAAATGATGCAGGTGTATCTTGACTCTGTAGGGAAGCACTAGAGATGGTGGTATTTGTATACAAATACGAATATCCCCTCTCAGCTGGAGTTGGCGAGGGTCTGCCCCCTGGAGCCAGACCCTCAACTCGTGCGTCCAGCAACCTTGTGCATCCTTCCAATCACTCCCAGAGCCACGATTTCTTCCTGCTCAGCTAGCCACTCCAGACAAGGGGAGGGAGGACGAGTCTCCCTGCACGGCTGCTGAGTGGCAAGCTGAGCAGGAGAGGGCAGGCTCAGGGACTGATTGGAAGGATGCTCAAGGACGCCGGCAGACACGCGAGTGGGCAGTCCAGCCCACCGGGGGGGGGAATTGTTAACTCTAGCTGTGCGGGGATATTCATATATTAATGCCCCCATCTCTAGTGCTTACTTACAGAGTCAAGATGCATTGGCACTACTTAAGGAAATATGAAAACCATGCCTCTCCTAGGAGTACCTGAAGCATATGCAGATAAGAATACCCCCATCTCTAGAAAGCAGTTTTGAACCTTCCTAAAGCCTGGTGGAGCTTTACGTGCCAGATTCGGCATGTAAAGAATCACCTTGTGCACATGGTCTCAGCACTGTGTCAATGTGGCGCATTTCAGTCACGTGTTGTGTGTCACAGATCAGTTTTGGTCATTTTGTAGATGTAATAGCAAAGTGGGTGAATGATAATCTTGATTTTTCAAGGTGGGGTGCTGGTGGTGTGGCTTTTCAGATGTTGTTAAGATTCAGGCTTCGGTGTGTGTGAAAAAACAAACACTTTAGGTCTCTTTTTGCCGTCCCCTTATTTTGGAGACATTCTGGGAACAACTGCAGGTAAGAAAGGGGATACAGTTGCCGCCTCTTAGATGCCCCCCCTTCATTTGAGTGAATCTTGCAGAACAGCCTGCAAACTGTCCAGTTGGGTGAGCTTTGTAGAATTGGTTTAATATAGAAAGAGAGTAGAAAACCACTAGCTGGAGTTCAGCCTTCAAAGCAGTTCTGTTGGTCCCTGGCAGCCGACCAGGCTGTGTGTGGCAAAGAAAACAATGCCCCGTATGGTTTCACTCACAAGTAAATTCCACAGCAGTGTTCTATTGTGAACACCAGGCTGAATTTCTATGGAAAGAGGAGAGGTTTCTTCTGTTCCTCTTTACAATTATAGCAACCAGTGTAATGGAGAAAACCTAGCAAGTTTGATATAGTTTATTGCAGACTGCGCCTGGTCTGTTTTTTGAAAATCTGAATTATTCTTACTTTAGGTCGCATCCCCGAAAGCCTACGAAACTGTGTGAACAAGGAATTCTTTGTCACAGCAGCTCCTTGGTCAGTAATAGATCAGCAAGCTATTCATCCAGAGCTCAACGGTGCCACATACAGGTGAGATGAAGAAAAAGTTCTTTCTGGAATTCTAAGTGCCAAAACGGAGCTAAAGAATGAGTTACACAGTTCTAAAATTTGCTAGATCAGGGTGAAGTTCTTAAGCAGTAGTGCAGTAAGGTTTCTTCTGCAGAGGGCACATTTCAAAAGATAATCAAGGTATTTGGGACAGTTCCGAGATATCAGCTCTACAAGTATGGAATTGTTTACGGACTCTGTAATAAGAGTATATTATAGATTCACATTATATTCCTATAAAACACTTTTTTTCTAGAGTCTTGGTCGAAGCTAGTAATGCGTCTGCTTAAAATGTTCTTCCTTCAGATGAGATAAGGAGCTGCTGGAAGAAAATATGATGCAACAAGAATACCAAAGCGTACTTTAAAGACTTGAGCAACTTTTTGTACGGATAGGGGCAACATCGCACACATGACCATTTAATAATATATTATTCACCCAGTCCTGTGGTCACAGAACTAATATGAATTTTTAAAATACAAATCATAACATTTAAGAGATAATGGCCAACATCTTCTCGGGCAACTCTGTAGTTCTAAATGCTATTGATGTAGTCAGCCATGGACATTAATCTTTGACTCCACCACCACCCAATCAGGTTCCAAGATTCCCCAGGGATTCCTTTCAACCAGAGGAGGCTCTTGGGAGGGGGGTTAATGGTGGAGCCTTTAATATTTAAAAGGCACCCGCAGCAGTCCTGGGGTTGTGGGGGGGGGCAACAATATTAAAGGTTAATGTCCACAACTAATTATGTCATCAGCATTTATAACTGTGGAGCTTTACAAGAGGATTTCAGCCCTTAATATGTCTGGCTATGGGCAGCCCATAGTCCTGAGTGGGGAGGTATGCCTGCCTCCAAAATTGTAGGATAAGCCCTTCCTTACATTATGGGTGAGGTATGTTTCTAGGTCCAAAACAGTCATGGGAAGCATTAAACCACACCTCCACAGCCTGTAACCAGCTTAAAACACACCTTAAGAAGATTGTGCCTGGCAAACTTTGCCGTGTATTTGTGGGCCATTCATTTATAATTTTTCTGCACTATTCCCAAGTTACTGATGTGTGCCTGAAGAAGTCGGTTCTTTTATCATCTTTCCAAAGAATAGGTTATTGTGCAGTAAGTGTACAGTTGTTTACAAATGCATTGAAGGATAATTTAAACATCCTTTACAGAGGGGAAAATCTTGCACAGAAAGCTCAGCTGGTAAGTGCCTATGAACTCAAGGAGTAATAAGCATAGTCTGCTGCTAAACATTTTAGATGACAGGTTCTAAATGTTCATGGTATATTTCAAAATGCCCTCTGTTAATCCAGTTGAGTAGGCAGACTGGTAGTGAAGTGGTTTCACCAGGTTTGACAACTTAGCTGCAATCCTTAAACCAAGAGGATCTCATTTTTCATGGAGATCCCACAAGGTCTGTGTGTTTCCATTGTTTCTCATGTCCCTGTACATGCACCGATATCCAACAGGGATTTGGTGCTCCTATATTCCCATTCCTTGTTTTCCATCAAGATATATACATAATAGGCAGCACAAAGAAATTCTCTAAAATATAGGGAAAGAGTCTGTTCCTTGAATGCATACATGCTACACTTACCTAGAGAAGGATCCTAATCTTACACAGCAAGTCACTTGGACAGTTAGAACGGCTGTTTTACCTTGGTTGACAAATTTTCAAGAGGGTTGTCAGGGGAGTATGATACAGAAAAAAGGAAAAAAAAATCTTTTGGAGGCTAGATGGTCTGTTGTAGCACAAGTCTTCGTGCAGTGGAATAAATTTCTTCATGTGCATTACCCCTTCCCTCCATCCATAATATAGTTTGGAGCAAAAACATTCCTTCTTTGCTACATGTCATCTGATTGTCTTTGTAAATCTTTCTCCTGAATCACATTTATCTTTCCCATCTTCATTGCCTTTATCAGACTGTACGGTATAGAAAATATCTTCATCTGCTGTGCTCATACTAATCATGGCTATGCCTGATAGCTTGTACAGTATTTTAGATTGTCTCTCAAGTACAGGCCAGGGCTCAGGGTTTGTCAGAGGCCTACCTATGCAGCCAGTTTCAAGGGTAGCTTTCTCATGCACTAAATTCTCCCATGCATACTTTTTATGTGTCTGCCTTTGGACACACTTCCATATTAGAACTACACTTTTCTCTCAAGGACACAGTGGTTGTTTTTTCCCCACGTTCACTGGTCATGCGTAGTTAAAATTTGAGTGGCGATTGTGTATATTTTTGTGCAAGCGAGGAAAAGCAGAATACTGGCTTGCCCAGAGAATCTCAATTCCTGTTAATACATATATGTATATAACCCTCAAGGAAAAAGCTAGGCTTGAACATAGGTATACTGTACAATCATTAGCTGCCTCAGCACCAGATAAGGACTCAGTAGGGTTTCCACTCTTCCATGTCTGAAGTACAGGACACAGTTTTGGCATTATGTCCTTCTAAGAATTTTCCAGGAAGAAAATCATGCCACCTCATAATCAAAATGTTCTTCATAGTGATCTCTGTGAATGCACACAAATGGGTTATCCTGCGCCTGCGCAGGATAACCCATTTGTGTGCATTCACAGAGTACCACTAGAAGAACCAAAAGTTACAGGTAAGTAGCCTAACTTTTTAGTTGCATTTGTGATAATGTAATAAATTAATAGCAAAGGAGTCAGTCATGCTTTCACTTTATATATCTTTTGCATCATTTTTTTTAAAAAGGCAGAAGAAAGTTTGCTGTGGATTGGTCACCTACATCTGGCCATCAGATGCTGAAACATGTACTCTGTTGCTGTTTGAAGCCTCAGATAAAACTATTGCAGGTGTCTTGAAACAATTCTGGTAGTGATACAAAAAGACCAGTCTGCAGGTTATAAGATCACTATTTGTTGGTCAACAGTAGTGTTCAGGATACTATGAATTGCATGTTTTTAGAACTAAGTTAAGTTCTGAGTTTGCTATAAGGTAAAGGTTCCCCTTGACATTTAGTCCAGTCGTGTCCGGTGCTCATCCCCATCTCCAAGCCATAGAGCCAGCGTTTGTCCAAAGACAGTTTCCGTGGTCACATGGCAAGCATGACTAGACACGGAACACCGTTACCTTCTCACCGTGGTGGTGGTACGTATTTGTCTACTTGAATTTACATGCTTTCAAATGGCTAGGTTGGCAAGAGCTGGGACAAGTGACGGAGCTCACTCCGTCACGTGGATTTGATCTTACGACTGCTGGTCTTCTGACCCTGCAGCACAGAGGCTTCTGTGGTTTAACCCGCAGCGCCCCCACGTCCCCAGTTTGCTGTAGTGTAGTAAAACAGAAATTGTGCTTTCTTTACTGTAGTTACTGTATGCAGTTATGAATAAGAATGGCTTTTCTGTCCTTCTTACTCCATAGGGATTTATTTGGAGTGAACATTTGTGTATTATTCTGCTGGTAACTCTGACATTATCTTTTGCTAGATATCCCCCCGGCATGGTGAGCGTCACACCAGGAGGAATTCCGGCAGCTATGGAAGGTATTATCCCGGGAGGGATTCCTGTTACACATACTCTTCCGACAGTGGCACATCCTTCGCAGGCGCCATCTCCTAACCAGCCCACAAAACATGGGGACAACAGGGAACACCCCAATGAGCAATAGCAGAGAATCTAAAGCACTCCAATTTGGGACCAAGAGACATTGGAAAAGAAAAATTACTCACAAACTGACAGGAATTTGATACAAAAAAAGTTTGTAAGATTGATTTTTTTTTTTGGACTGATGCATCCTGATGTTCCAGTGTTAAACAACAAAAAAACCCACAAAGATATGAGTCAAGACTTGGGGGAGGGACGGGGAACCCAGAAGTCACCTGCTTTCTGAAGCACTGAAAACTAGTATTTGATGATACATTATTGATCAGCTTATGTTATTGTGTGTTTAAGTTTCCTTCATCCTTGCATCAATCACAAAAATAATGTGTATTTCTTCTCAGTCCCTTGGGGGGAAAGCAGCCAATTGAAGTATCTGCTGCTTAAGAGCTTGTCCAGCTGTCCTAACAAAGCTTACATGATATTAAGAGGAAACCATCATGTGACTTCAGCCCTTTCCTTCCTCACTTACCCGGCTTCTCCTTATACAGCCTGAGGAAGGACAGCCCAGAGTTGGGGAGACAGTTTCGTTCATTGCAATTGTATATGGCCACTAATGTATTGGAAGGATGCTATTCAAGGTTAACTACACTTCTGTAGATCAGGGGAAAGAAAAAGGCCCATGTTATCTAGCTGCCTTTTAATCGCAGAAATATGCTTCTCCTACAAGATGCACTTAATAAAGTAGCTGTACATTCAATAACATGTGCTGATGATGCAAAAAAAGTGTTAAGTCTCACATTTATACTCAAATATATTTTTCTCAATTTTAAATCCACAGCTATTTTATTGAGTGAAAAGTCTTGAGCTGGAAAGGGTTCAAGAATAATGTTGCATTTCCTTATGTCTCAGGAAAAAAAACACTTTTTATGGTAACTTGTCAGACTGTATGAACAAAACCCACTTTTTTAGACATTGAAGTCTTCTTTTCTTCATGTGATATTTTATACAAGAACACTTCAAAATGTGTTATTAGATGTGACTGATTTTAACAAATCCTATTAGATTTGTATCAACTAGTTACATGTTATATTCATAGTCTTTTGTGAATCATCGCCTTTTTGTTAAAAAAGATGGCCTATTCTGAGCCTTTGTATGGGTACATTCCTGTTTTCTGTGATAAAAGTTTTAAAAGCTGTCCCAAACAAAATGAAAAACAGAACCAATGGCTACCAGAAGTATGTTTTGTTTTAGTGTGTTACCGTTACTGTATTTGTTTATTGTAAAGGTGAACATATAGCGTTCAGTGCAGTTTTCAATAAAAAGTGACAATTTCTATAATTTGAGCTGGATCCTTGATGGTAATCAAAATGAAAATATACCCAATAATATGCTTTCAGTATTTGAATCAAGGTTAACCACCTGCCTTGAGATTGCACAGGAAGATTGGGGGGGGGGGTTGTCGGTGTTTTTCAGTCAAGTATAGTCCCCTCTAAAATGTGTTTCTAAGCCAGTATGATTCCCCTGCTGAAAGAATTTTAATCATAATCCTCAAAATACAGGTCAGAATAATACATAGTGACGACTAATGGTCTGCTCACACAATAAGCACACAGCAATCTAGTTGGGACACAATGAGACCTGTTTAGGCTTTATGCTTGAAACCACATAAGGCTGAAAAGACTGGTGAGGCTGGAGGGGGGTATGGCCATAAGTCCTACCCACTTCTGAAGTCCTGCCCATCCAATAGTCTTTCAAACTTTAGTGTGTTGATTAACTCAAAGGGTCTACACAGCAATGTTTGTAAATGGAAAAGTGTGCTTAGGTACATCCCAACCACTTTTCTACCCTGACCCAGATTCAGGCATAACTTCTGAATAGGGGTGTGTTTGCACATTTTAGAGTTATTCTCTTCTTGTCCTCTCATTGAAGGACATATAAATGACTGTACAGGGAGAATTCTCTTTCAGTGTAGAAGCTCCCCACCCTGACAAGATACAGCACACCAAAAGCCTAGCCATACTGGCTTCACATCCAGTTCTGAATAAATCTGGTCATCACAATATACAGTTTATTTGTAACTGGTTCTCTGCCAGCAGTATTAGCCTTCCAATTGTCCTTTTAGAGTGAGCTGGCTGTTAAGGAGCAACAAAATCGAAGGTGTGAAATTGAAAGTGCTTAGGAACAGAAAAGACACAGATTAATGTATTCAGACAGGAATTGAAAGCAAACCATTGGTACAAAACTTGTATTTGTTTTGTTTAAATTAATGGAAAAGCACATTTCCAGCTTTGAACATACTCAAGGGAGTCAACTTCAATAATGTATCAATGATCTAACACTGCAATTATGAATAACTTACCATAGACACCAGTAAAGAGCAACCAAGCAGAGGAACAATGGTGAGTTACAGAGAACATTTAGGAAGCCACAAAAATGAAGGTGAAATAATAGAACATTTACACTGGCATTAGTGACTTTTAGAAGCTGCTGTTATTGAAACTGTTCGTAAACCAGGCAGTGGCATTCCAAATAGGCATCATTAACGTTGATGAACATGGATACTTTCTAAAAGGACATTTTGCATCTGAGGCAGGCTCTTTTACCACCAGTGAATGTGCTAGGAACCTCTGGTGCAAAATTTGGCTGCTTGAAGGCAGTTGATGTCCTATTACTTCCAGGTACTAAGTTGAAGAAAAAATTGCCACATAAAATGAAAACCACATTTATCCCTGCAGGGGGCTTTAAGTCAAAGTAAATTAAATTAGCTGCAATTCTCAGAGTAAGCTTGAAATAATAAATAGGGATATCATCAAATTCAGGGGAGCTTTAAATTGCTTATAGTAAGTCCAGTATTTAAAAAAATCTGAATAAGATGGTAAAAGTAATTAAGACACAAAATGGTAAACATTCCTTTCAACAGGTATACTTTTCTAAGGAGCAAAAGATAGCAAGTTTTGGAAGTCAGAACAGTAGATCAAAACTATTACAATGAGGGAGAATAATTGGTGTACTGGATCTTTCTGCTTTCACTAGGCTGGAGGCTGATCGGTAATCTCACCAAATAACTAGATGCAAAGTGTTTTACTACTAAAACTACTATAGAAAAAACAAACACCCGCTAGTGCTTACCCCTTAAAATTTCAGGATGGTGAAATTTTTAAGAAATAGTTGTAATTTAAAACACTGCAAAGTTGAGAGTGGGGTGCAGGAAGAGACCTGGCAAGTTAGAAGCCATACATTATTGTAACCAATCTTCATGGCACAGCCATATCTTAGTTCTGATGGTTGACTAGTTGGCTGGAGTTTTCAATCTATAAAATCACTGGCCTCCACTGACTATCATAGGGAATTTACTAAGAGTACACTAGAAGAAATTATTCAAATGGAGAATGATATGTATGGGTATCTCAGCTAGTTTTTAGAAATTACACTCTTTTATTCCTCACAGAAACCAAGCACATTCATCTTACAGCACTCCAAAAAAAAGAAAAAAGGTGATCTTGGGATTTGTTACTACAGTGAAATGAATGTGGCAAAAGATGAAGTCATTTCCCCATCATAGCACAAACAAAAGCTACAAAAGAAACAAAACTAAAAGATTATATTTAAAACAGATCTATGTCACTATGCTCATTAGGGATCTGCAGATTGTATTTTATTTTCAAATAACTACCTTCTAGCTCATCGTCGCCTATAACTTCTCCTACTAGTCCAGGAATGCAGGGTTTCACTGTGATGTAAGGTAAGCAGCAAAAAAGGTAGTGATGTTATCTAATGGCTGTATTTAGAAAGAACTAGGACTTTATTAGAACCTGTTATAAGATGATATATCCAATCATTTTACCGCTTAGGAAATTTAACTCATCACAGGTAAACATGCACTTATACCTGATAATCTGCATGCACTGAGAGGGAACTTGTGACCAAAATATATATACACATACATAATTATATGCCTGTGTCAGAAGTGGGAAAAGTTGTGTTAATGTATTTCTTCAATGTAGTACCTTGATGCAAGTTCAGTGTAAATCTGTCAACAAGATTATTTTTGGCGAATATGTTTCAACAACTCTGAGTCACAATTAGAAAAGCAGCAAATTCTGAAGGGTTCCTTTTTTTCTTCCTTTCTTTACATCTATGTAAAAAACATACATACAGCTTATGACTAGAAATTTAAACAAGGAAATCTGTTTTGCAAGAAGTTCCCTGTCATCATTTCCACCATCATTAGTCTTCAAAAAGTGCTTATCAGGATCTGCTTTATGCATACAAAACTATTCAACCTTTAGTGTTTTAAGTGAGGTTTTGGATAGGATTCAAGATAGCATGGCTAAAAGTTATCAAGTATAATAAAAAGATTTTTTTTCTACTGGAGAATATATTTTGAACTTATACTTTCAGGAAACTTACATATTCAAATGTGGCCACAATCAATCAACATGCAAAGGATTCCAAAGTTTACATACCAAGAAAAGATAATATACAGTACTTTAAAACAAACTTTTGAATGAAGGCTTTCAAGGAAAACTGTCAAAGTGCTTTCTCACTTGATTTTAATGACCAAGGAATGCGCCTCAATGGAGGTGATTTTAATTTGCATGGGGGAAAAGGCTTGATGTTAATTTCTACTGTACAACTCACAGCAAATCCAGGTTGGGACAAAATGCAGTTTTTAGTTTTAGTTTAGCAAACTCCACACAATAGTTTAGCATATAACTCTCTCTGCAACAGCACTTCTACAATTTTAAGTAGGCTGGAAGGGGAAAAAACTATTCCAAACAAATGATACAAAATATTGATGGACATCAGAGAAGCCTTTATAGAAAACAAAACCAAAATTTATCACCCTTCCACAGGTTTTCCCTTTAATGTTTAATTTTATTACAATGGGCATAACGTTAGCTCAAATCTGAATAAAACAGTAAGTTTGTTCATACTTCTGACTTATCCTGAATATATGGCGTCAGCAACAAAAAAAAGCCACATGATCTGACCTGGGCATTAGCAGAGCTTTCATATAAAATCGTCTTTCAATTAAGAATGTCAGAATGTTTAAAAGGCGATGCAGAATAACCAAGTTTTACCATAAGTCTCAAAAGGAACAGATACTCATCTATGATGTGCTTTTTAAGTGTCCTTATTCAAAAGAAATTTCATCAATAATTTTAAGATGCTGGTAATACTTTTTCCTATTACACAACTTTCTTACACAACCACATGCGGTACATTTATAGGCAGATGTACAATTGGAAAGAAAAGGTTTCCTGTCTTGATAATAAAATGGGGGTTTGCTTTTTTTCCCTTTCCTTTTTTTTAACAAATGGTAGTCCAATCAACATAGCTGTCCTCACACATTTGGATCAGCCTCTGCATTCTCCCCATGCTGATTAAAAATCCTGTGCAGGATGCTTCCTGCTACAATTGGGTCAATGTATAAGAAATTGCTAGACTGTGCCCCAAGTGCTGAGGCTGTCACCACATATTATATGCAGCCTGGTATTTCAATTTCATCACTCATCATCATCATCTTCTTCTTCTTCCCCATCTGAAAGGGATGTACAGGGGCGGATTTGTCTGTAGCGGTCAAGCCACTTCTCCACCATCTGGGTTACCAGAGGATGGTTGCGACGGCGAGAACTTTTCTGCATGGCAACGAGGACTCCACCCTCTGTCACACAACAGTCCAGCCACTCCCTCAGCAGCTTCTCCTGCTGTTCCTCATTGCCAATCTTCAGGGGAAGAACACGCACACAGTTAGAACTCTTAAAGATACGCCTAAATTCAGGCTACTAACATTTTAAAAAACCAGACAATTCCTTTAAAAATCCTGCACTACCCAAATCCTACACTACCAGTAAAGACCATGTTTTCCTTGAATTCTCTGTGAGGTACAACAACTGTCAGACACAGGTTTCATAAACACAAATCATTTGTGTACTTAAATCTCTACCTTAATTATGCCCCGAGATTAATCAAAAGCCTCTACTTCACTACAGTTATAACTCTCCACTTTTCTTTCATAAGGATGCACGAAATAGTTCATGTTATGAAATGGGTTTGTAATTTTTGCCATGCATTCTAATCCCAGCTTTCTTACTACAACATGTAAGTACACACACTAACCACCATGTACTATTGCTTATCATAGTTAATTGTGGTTGGAAAATATTTGTAGCTGTCCCACAAATGCTGTATTACTACACCTGTCTACCATGGCCACACTGATCTCTTGCGTCATAAACACAATTCTGACTAGAACTAACCTGGCTCACAAGACACCTCACATAACATCCTTTCTTCCAGTTTACTATAACCTGTTTTCAAATTCCTCTGGTGCGCAGCAATTTTACAATTAATATCCACAGCAAGATCCTCTAGCACTAAGGTTTTTCTTGAGGGCAATTTTCCGCTGACAAGAGTCTCAGGAACTTTTCTGATTCCATCTGAACATCTTAAGTTTTTCTTACCTCTTGAGCAGACAGGAAGTGAATGTGCAGCAGCTTCCTTTCACTGTCGACCAATGGTAAAAACGTAATAGTAACATCATCATCAGTATTCAAGTTAGCACCAGCACCTCGATTGCCATAGCCATCATTCTCCATGGCAACCAAAGCAGAGAAGTGGCCCCTTGTGTAGCCCAGAGCAATAGGGCTTTTCCAACAAAAACTCTGTTCCCATAAAAAAGGCAAATATACACCTAAGAAAAAGAGAAAAATGAACAGGCAACTCAACAGAATTCTGTATGTTAATTATTTTAATGAAAATTTTCATCCAAAAGTAGGGCATGTGTCAAGGTTTGAAACCTTGTGTGTTTAACAGAATCAGGAAAATGAAAGTAGGTGCGGAAAATTTGCCTTAAATTTGCCTTAAATGGACAATACTTTCAAAACTAAGTCATTTTACGTAAGTCATTGCAAAACAATTAGCCAACTCTGGTAGAGAACAGTCAATGAATTTATACACAATACTGACAACTGAACAAATGTTTTGGTTTTGATTTGTAAACATAGAGGTGAAGGTAGCATAAGTAACAGGTGAATTAATGAAAAAGGAGTACAGAACCCTTTTTGCCATCTAGCCTTATAACTCCAGCTTTTGGAAATGGAGATCCACAAAATATAAGTATTATGATTTCCATGTTAGTGCTAAACTAGCAAAAAAAAATCAGGTAGACACTTCCTACATCAGCAAGAAGTTAAAAAAATAGTTGTTTGCCTATTTTTTTTTATTCCTAGCCAAAGAATCTGAGTACGTGCAAAGTCTATGAGATTTCCGGAACTCCCTCCTATGGAAGCTAGACTGCCCCCATCCTTGCTGTGCTCCCACAGGCAGGCAAAAACCTTTCTTTAGGCAGGTTGTTACTTCATGACTGGCATCCTGAGAGGCTTTCTGAGTAGAATCTTATCTTCTGATATTTCAATGTGTTTTGTATTTACCATTTTTAATATAATACTTGTTTAATGCTTTTAAAATATTTCTACATTCACTGTTTTTAGCTTTTAAATATTCTCTTTTAATTGTTGTAAGCCACCTTGGATCCTTTTAAGGAGAAAGGCAGGATAAAATGTTTTAAATAAATAAAAACATTTTCTATTACATTAGAACATCCAGAAATTTCCTACCATAAAAACCTCAATGAGCAAAAAGAAATTATTTGTAGTTGACGAAAGGCAAATAAACATATAAACATAACTGAGAACAGAGAACGGTAAAGCGAGCAAAACAGTGCCAGGCAAGTATTGCTAGAGTAGAGGACAAGGTAACAAAGCTGCACAGAGCAGAGACACAGAAGTCATGGATTTTCCTCCATAGATTTTAATTGGCAGAGGGAACAGCCTTTAGAATTATTTTCTCTGTGTGCCTAATAATATGTTTTGAGGCTAAGTAATACAAAGCAAAAATGCAAGCTGCTTATATACTGTCCCGTAACACTTAAAGCACTCTCTGAGCAGTTTATAATTTAATTATGCAGGCTACGCATTGTCTCTGCCCCAGCAAGTTGGGTACTCAATTTACTGACCTTAAAAAGATGAAAGCCTGAGTGAAGCTCGAGCCAGCCACCCAAAATTGAACCAGAGTTGTGAGCAGATTTTTGGCTGCAGTGTTTCAGTTTAACCACTGCAACATGAGGCTCCTAATACATTTTACTTTATATATTTTTTTACTTTTAAGAACGTTGATATGTTCAGAGATGTATTCTCTGTCTTTTGATATTTAAATGTACTTCTTTATAGGATATTAAGCACTTGCATTTTTAGAATGTGATTGAAGCATTCTCAGTCTTTTTTACTCTTAAAAATTATGCTACTGTATTTTATATCTAAACACGACTTAAGTTCTGCCTAAAACTTCAGTTTTAATATTTACATTCTTTTACAAGTTTCAAAGAAGGATTTTTAAGTATTTGTTCCCATGGTTTTTTGAATAGCTGTAAGACTTTTGGATTTTACAACTTTGAAATAATTTTGTGCATATGGGACATAGAAGCAATGTAGATAAATAAAACTTGTAGAAATCGACAAGCAGCTCTTGCCTGGAATTACTGCAAAAGTGAAGACACATATTTTGATATTAATATGATTGTCTGTGATTCTTTGGTTTGATTCTGGGGTTAACCCTTTACTGGGATAAATACCAGCTGTGATGAACACAGGCTTCTGATTTTTCCCTGGAAGTCTATGAAATTTTGTACGAATCTGGGAAGGGTATATTATATAATATTGTAGTAAGTTTAGAGTAACAACCTTAGAATTCCAGAGCTGGAAGGGACCCTGTGGATCATTAAGTCCTGCCTGTTAAGGAGGCACAGTGAGGAATCAAACTCTCAACCTCTGGCTCTGCAGCCTAAATCACTGAGCTATCCAGCAGTGCATATTACAATCTACATCTCAAAATACTTTTTAATGTAGGATAATACCACATTCATATTATTAAACTGCATTTTTAGACAAATGTATATCAGATACAGTAATTTTATTCTACAGTTAATAATTGCTTGCTACTCAACAAGTAAAATTGCCTTGCTGCAAGTGTTCATTAGACATGGGCACTTCATATTTGTATCCTGGGGAGACGAATACAAATCGCTGAACCCCAATTCCCTCCCCCCAATACCAGCCAGGTCCACTCACTGGACTCCACACAGCATGTGCTCATCCATCATCATTGTGGCGCCAATCGCAGGAGGAGCCTGGCTGGCGCTTCCCCGCCTCCCTGTGCAGCCAACCATTGATCAGGCTGAGTGGGAGACACCCTCTTCTGCCTCCACCTGATGGGTTCCTTCTGTGATTGGTGTGACAATTATGACGGAGGAGTTCCGCATGGAGCCTGGTGAGTGGACCTAGTTGGTTTTAGTGGAAGGAATTGGGTCACTGCAGAACCTGTGGTGCTGAGGTTCATATCTGTATCCCCAAGATACAAATACGAAGTGCCCGTGTCTAGTGGCTCTAAAAGAAAGACTGCAACTTGGATCACAGCAGTAATTCCAGGTTAACTGGTTCCAAATAGACAATAAATCCAAGTAATATATGCATGCTTTCTTTTTTCAGTGTATAAGGACTTGAGCATCATGTCAAAGTATCAATTCTAAACAGATAAAGAACTGGAATGAAATTTTAGTTGTCTCAGTGTCAATTAACCCAGTCTCCACAATCTTTCATTATAAGCAACTGAATCTCCCACCCTTCTAGGAATATGAGAAGTTATTCATAGAGACCTAAGAAAAACAACTAAGCCAGGAACGTGCCCTGCCTTGAGTGAGTTTAAAAATAGCTATGAGTAATCCTTGTTAATATGTAACATAGCAACCTTTCAGAGAGAAACTGAGCTCAAAGCATTTACACTTGAGACTACCTTTAGCATGCTTCCCAACAAACAAGAAACCAGCATCATTTGTTGTTGGGTTTTCAAAGATAAATACTTGTCAATGTACATGGACATGTTAATAGCTACAAATTATGGTATCGTGGACACACTGTACTTAACTGCATTCAAAGTTATGCCCACATATGTAGCAACTTCTTGTATGCTTTATTATCCAAATGCTACATTGGGAGTACCGTATTTGCCGGCGTACAAGATGACTTTTTGGGCCCAAAAAACATGCCTCCAAGTGGGGGGTCGTCTTGTACGCCGGGTGCACTTCATTTGGGCCAGGAAGGAGCCACCACCACCGCCGCCATTGAGTGAGTGACGCGGGGCCGTGCTGGCCGGGGAGGAAGGCAGGCAGGCAGGCAGTCGGTCTGGATGGAAGGAGGGAAGCACAGCCTGCCATGCCTGAGCAGCCAGAGCCTGCCACCGGGCTGCCTGCCACCCCGCGCTGCTGAGCCAACTGCACACTCGCTCGCCCACCCCCCGCCCGTTTCCCTTTTCCTCCTCCTCCTCCTCCTGCCGCCGCCCACCCAGCCTCTTCCTTGCCCTCCTCCCCGCCGGCCATGAACTTCCAGGGCAGGCCTGGGCAGAGCCCCGGGCAGCCGGCGCCGGAGCAGAGCCGTCCACTCTATACAGTATTTTGAGTGGAAATGTTGGGGGGGGGCATCTTATACGGCCGGTCACCTTGTACGCCGGCAAATACGGTATTCATACACAGAGAATTTAGATTTACAACAGGCCTTGGCCACCATGCTTTCATCTAATAACCTAAGTAACTGCCTTCAAACGTTCACTGCTAAGGCAGAGAGTTCACATGATTTCAATGAGATACAGTGGACCCTTGACTTACAGATGGCTTGACTTACAGACTTTTTGAGTTACAGACTTCTCTGGCCGCAAAAATTTAGGTTTGACTTGCAGACTGAGATTTGACTTACAGACCAGAAAAAAACCAAAATGGAACAAAAACCGCCTGTTACGGGATTAATCGGTTTTCAATGCACTGCAGGTCAATGGAGACTTGACTTACAGACTTTTTTACTTGAGAACCGCCTTCCAATACGGATTAAGTTCTCAAGTCAAGACCCCACTGTACAGCAATGCTCTATAAGGCCTAATGGGCAGCAAAACCATGACTCTCAGCATTCTCCGTACTGTGGCACTTTTCTTTATAAAAACAGAATTAACATCAGAAATCAAAGGTCAGAGGAGCCAATGGGAGCATGGCAGTTAGAGGTAAATAACCCAAGAACAGTCTCTAAATGTCTGCAGGTTTGTACATGTGAGTTGAAACTCCCAGAATTCTGACCAGGGAATTCCTACAATCCTGGGAGCCTTGATTTAATTTCTTTATTTTATTTATTATTTTATTTCTACTCCCACCCCTCTAGACAGAGTCTACTGTCTTCCTGGAAAACAGCAACAAGTTCCCAGATCTTCCTGGAAAACAGCAACAAGTTCCTCAATTTCCTGAAGGATAATTAGGAAAGGCCATGTGGTTTAGGACTACACAAATGCAAGAGTAAGGTGAAACTTTTATTGAACCACTTTTTAAAAATCATACAAATTGCAAGCTTTCATGGGTAAAATCCCACTTCTTTGGGCTGGGCACCATTCCTTCATGGATAGTGCAGAAAAAATGTAGGTCAGAGTCCCAAAAATTCAGGACAGATACCCATGCTCTACGACGTTAGTTCATCCTTAGCTTGTACAGTCAGCTGGGAGGTGTGGTTTCAAGCATTCCCCCTTGTAGCATGGTGGGAATCTATCACCCAAACGCCAAAGTATGGCCCAGCCTTCCAAGGAAAAAGAGGTTAAGCTTCCCCTGCCTGCTCTACTTCCCCAATGACTGAGAAGCACGAGGTGAAAAAAGTAAATGTGTGAAGGTTACTGAAGGCATATACAATAATTTTTGCCTACCCAGATTATTTGCAATAAAATAGCAGAAGAAATCCATTTGTGGAATGTACTGGTTTAGAGCAATGGTTCTTAACCTTTGTTACTTGGATGTTTTTGAACTGCAACTCCCAGAAACCCCAACCAGCACAGTTGGTGGTGAAGGCTTCTGGGAGTTGCAGTCCAAAACTCCTGAGTAACCCAAGGTTAAGAACCAGTGGTTTAGAGTTAGGGCTTCAGACAGTGTAGTTCTTATCTCTTTTTTTCTGCAATTTACTTGCTAAGTTCCCTTGCAAGCCACCTTGAGTCCTATGCGAGAATGGCGTACTATACATTACGCCATTCAACTACTGTATGACAGTCTTAACTATGAAACCTACTAAAAGCGTAATATAACAGCTTACATAAATCTATAGCTACTTCTTCAAATTATCACCTTTCATAATAGCTCTTCTCAGCAGATGAAACTCAAAATCTTTACTGTGAGCCATGCTTACCTTGAAAACGGGTATATCCTAAAGTTTCTCCCCGGAAACTCTTATAATATTTTACTCCATAAACTATAATTGGTCTTCTAAGAATATGTGCAAGTACAAAAATATGTGTCTGTTCCAAACTTGCTCCAGGCTGCAGTAAAGAGAACATTTGAGATTTTAACAAATCAAGTATCACACTGCACAAATCAACTGAGCTTTTGATTTCATTAGTCGCCATGTCAGCTGAAAGTCCAGAGAAAGTCACAATGAATTCCATGTATATACAGTGGGGTCTCGACTTACGAACGACCCTACTTGCGAACAATTCAACTTACGAACCCACCCTATAGGGGAAATAAGGACTCGACATACGAACTTCCCTCGAGTTACGAACAGGGAAAAAAGTGCCCCCTCCCTCCCCTTAGAGGCTTCTGGAGGGGAAAAAAGGGGCAGAAACTTTAAAATAAATAAAAGAAAGTCACTTACCAGGCCTTGGTAGCCCCCAAACAGCAGGAAAAAGAGCAGGAAACAGCTAAAAGTCCACACCAGAAGGGAGCCTGGCAGCCATTTTTGTGCTTGCCCCCCCTCCTGCACCCTCCTCTCCCCGCCTATCAGCTGATCGGCTGGCTCTGAAAAGGCTTAGGGAGCCTTCCTCAGCACCTAAAAAGCCTGCCTGTGTGTCTTTGTGCTGAAAAAATCAGCACAACATGCTTTAAAACATGATTTAAAATTGGCTTCAGTGGGGAAAAAAAGATTTCTAAAGTGCTTTGCAAACTGTTCCCTGCCTTCCTCCGTTTCCTGAACCTAAGGGAAAAAAAAGAAAAAATATCCCCCTCTAGTGGTAGAAGGCGGAATAGCAGCTTCCCATTAGTTTCTATGGACGGAAAAGAGCAGATACAGATTAAATGGTTTTCAATGCATTCCTATGGGAAATGCAGATTAGACCTACGAACTTTTCAACCTAAGAACCACCTTCCAATACGGATTAAGTTCGTAAGTAGAGACCCCACTGTACTAAAGATGTAAATCAGTTTGTCATGTTCACACATCTGAGAATGAGAAATGCCAGAATGTTGTCCTTCCTTCCATGAATTTCTGCAAGCCTCAATTAATTTTTGTACAATACTAGAATACCTGCTACCTTCACACCTTTTACAAAGGAGAATCATCAGATGGGTTGTTGCATTTTCTGATCACTCAATCTGTAATTCCATGCTTGCTGTGCATGTCTATCTATGGAAAGGACACTAACTTCGCGCAGAGACATATCACCCTAATTGCAGAATTCCCGGCAGAAAAAAATATTGTTCCCTGTATTGTTCTTACACTGGATCCATCGCCTCCTGTACATTCCTCAATATTTCCCTCTCTCAACAATAACTAAACATTTTGTTAACTGTTGCCCTATTATTTGGTTGAGTACTTCCCTATTAATTGCTAAAGCAATGTTTTTAAACTGTTTTTAATTCAAAAAAATAATTATTTCCCATATGCGCTGGTGCTTGTTACACAAGTGGGAAAGTAATCAAGAACAAGTTCACACCATATTCATGAACAATATTCACCAATGTAGATAAGGACACACACAGCTCATGGTTTACAAAGTGGACACAATTCAGCTCTTTTCATTTTGTATTCGTGAAGGCTTTCACGGCCGGGATCTAATGGTTGTTGTGGGTTTTTCGGGCTCTTTTGCTGTGTTCTGAAGGTTGTTCTTCCTAACTTTTTGCCAGTCTCTGTGGCCAGCATCTTCAGAGGACAGCACTCACAGAGACTGGCGAAACGTTAGGAAGAACAACCTTCAGAACACGGCCAAAGAGCCCGAAAAACGACAACAACCATCTTTTCATTTTCCTTGATCTCAATGGCAAAGAACTGGAGAATGTAACTCTTTAACATTTCAAAGACTTTGACTGGATAGTGCTATAATGCGAAGACTTGGCAAAAGCCATGTTGATTTCAGAACACCAGTTATAATGCTGGAAGCCAGCTAAATCAGTGGTTCTTAACGTGGGCGATAATGCCCCCCAGGGGGCGATTTCATTTTTCAGGGGGGTGGTAGAACGAAAAGGGGCGGCGTGGGGGCGCTGGAGCAAGCCAAACCTGTGAAGATGGCTGCAGCCTTTTTACAGTGAGCATGAATATATATTTTCCTCCAATTTTAATTTAGTTTCAGACTTTTTGTCTTGAAATTTTTAGTTCCTGCATTTGTTTTTATGCCCTTTTTATATTTCTTTTTGCGTCTTAAAATTCACTTGCAACTAAACAATTAAATGTTACTTTTGGGGCCGCATTTCATTTTCTTGGAATTTAATTTTGTTTTCAGGGGTCATTGGATTTAAGTGTCTTAATAAATAAATAAATAAAAGATATCATCACCACGGGGAGGGGGGCGATGATAACTTCCTCAATGGCTCAAGGGGGCGTTTCTTTCAAAAAGGTTAAGAACCACTGAGCTAAATGAAGCATTCCATCTTTTTGAATACCTTGTCTTGAACAGGGAAAGAGAGTGGGGAGGTACAAAGAAAGCATAGGTGTGTGAGAAATACAAACACCTTTCTAAACATTTTTTCTTGTTTATATTTACTCCATATTTATCTCTTCAACCCACACAGCCTTACCTGACTAGCAAGTGAAAGTATAAATGCCCAGTCTTCCTGCCACTGCTCTTCTCGCAGTGAGAAGTGTAAACCAAAGCTCTGAGAGTACCATGACTCCCACTCTTTCCATCGTGTATAGAACCTGCAATAAAGACATATAAGGGAAACGAAGTTTTTCTTAATTCCAAATCATACTGAATTGTTCAAGTACCACCTAAACAGCAACTTCAGCAGATTCACTCTCCTACCCACTAGTAATGTTCGCTTTAGTCTCTTATTTTGCATCAAAGGAAGGAGGAAATAGAAAACCAGAAGAGAAGAACTTTTGAGAAGGATTAATTGTATTTCTGGTTGCAACACAATTCATTTACCAAATTCACAATGTTCACTTTGTTCAGCTCATTCTTTTGGTATCTCACCACAGGTGACAATCATGTTCACAGAAATCTTTTAGTAGATGACTTCTTGATGTATAACATGATCAAATAAATAGGTCAGCATAATTTTTAACTGCTTTAATATTATCTTCTTTTTCTCATCTATCCCAACATTCAAGGTTGCCTAGTATTTTCTAGCACCACTTTTGCATCTTCAACAATCAATAAAGATAATGCTTTCTTCTACAAAGTGTACTTATATCTAAGGACTCGGTGTCAAATCATCAGCAAACAGGAAACTTCTTACCTTCGCTTTACAGTGGCACCTCGACTTAAGAACGTCCCAACATACAACCATTTCAAGTTACAACCAGCTCTGGCCGCAAAAGTTTGCTTCAACTTGCGGTCGGAGCTTCCAGTTACAAACAGAAAAGGGCAGGGGGAAAAGGTGGGGAATTTAAATTGCTAACCGCTGGTGGCGAAGAGGCTGCTTCTGATGATGGCAATTTTAATAGTATTTTAATTGTATTTTAATCATTTTATTTTTATTGTATTGAATTTTAATTATTGTAAGCCGCCCAGAGACCTCTGGGTAGAGTGGGCGACATATAAATTAATTAAATAAATAATAATAATAATAAGTAATAATAATACTTTCACCCCAACGGTTAGAGTGAGTGCGACCGGAGGAGGCTTCGGACTGCCTGGCAAGGTAAGGTGCTGCTTTCTGCTTTTTAAAAACTGTTCTGATTGGATTTTGCAGCATGGTTTTGGGCTATGTTTCTATGCTGTGATGGGTCTTGCAGGGTTCGTTTGTTTTTTGGGTTTTTTCCCCAATTTCCGATGGGTCTTGCAGGGTTGTTTGTTTTTTGGTGGTTTTCCCCCCATTTCCGATGGGTCTTGCGGGGTTTGTTTGCTTTTCTCCCCCCGCCCTTCGGCCGGAAATCACGTTTCCAATGGGTCTTGCAGCAGGTTTTGTTTGTTTGTTTTGTTTTGTTTTTGTGATTTTGCTCTTCGGCCGGAACAGATTAATTGCATTTCAATGCACTCCTATGGGAAATGTTGCTTCAATTTACGACAATTTCGAGTTACGACTGGAGTTCCAGAATCAGTTAAGTTCGTAAGTTGAGGCACCACTGTACTAGATAAACATTTGAAGCAATGGTTTCAAGAAGCTTATTATTGGTCTGCTTTTCCCACAGTTCTTAGCAGTGGTGCTTCAATGTAGATTTGGAAATGGTAATGAAGAAAGACACCAAAAAAGCTTTAGCATGTTTAAAAACAAGATATTGCCATATGGATATCACAAACATTCAATCCATTGTCCCTAATTTCTACATGCCCAATAATTAATTAACAAAATTCAAAATATCCTGGGACTTTCAATGTTTGAGCTCCTTTATATATACCTGACTGAGCAATGAGAGCTGACAGAGAGGACCTCCTCTGTGTCCTACCAATGGAAACAATGCATTAAAGGGAGATACAAGAGAATGCACCCTCTGTTGTGGCATCTTGATTAAAGAATTCTGCCCGAATTGCAAGATTTGATTACCAAAAGTTTTGTTCACATTTCAGTGGCAGGTTAAAACCCGGCTCTTCATTAAGGTTTTGGGGGATCAGTTTAGAACTGTTCATTGTTTTAAATTATTTTTTGTCTGGAACCTATGTGAGATCTTTTGATATAGCACAGGATAGAAACATTTAAATAAATCAATATTTCAAACATTTAAAAAGCATCCAAGATAATATTATAATTTGATTATTTCACTTATTGCTCTATATGAACTGCAATGAAAGCAGATATTCAGAGTTGACTATTAAACAAGCTAATTCAATATTTTAATATAAATGATGTTTTATAGAGACAAACCAGACAGTTTATTTACTTAGTTTGCATAAATTTCTCAATATTCACTGAAAGACTGCAAACTGTTCCCTCCATTTTGGGACAGCAATTTAATATCACTAACTAAATACTCTAATTCTGTCAGAGAATTTTTAATTTTTAAAGATAAAGTAAATCAAACAGGTATGCTTAACTTTTCCTCTAAGTAAGCAGAATACAGCCATTATTACATGAATATGTTTATTTCCAACAATCATTTCTACTTACCAATGAGAACAATCATGTAAACTGTCATGAAGAGCTTTACGTAGCACCGAGTCCTTATCATAAATGCCCCAGGTAGCTTGTAGTACTGAATCAAGCAGGCAATCTCCTGCAGTCCGATTCCAAAGTGCATAAAGTCTACTATCCAAACGTGTACCCAATTCCAGTGACCAGTTTATAATGGGCGATTCTTCTTCTAGCTCTAGAATATAGAAACAGTACACATTAGTCTCCCTACATCCAATGAAAAAGTTTCTGCTAGATTTTGAGGTGCTATTGCAAGTACCTTCTGAAATTATTTTTAGAATTACTTCCACCAGGAAATCTCACATCAGTGAATCTCTCACTGTGATTCCAAAATGCAAGCTCAAAAATCCAATAATGGTAGTGTACATGGAGAAAGTCGTGAGTCCATATACCTCCAACATCCAGCAACACAGAACTGGACACCTTTTAAGTCATTAAAGCAGACTTCCTACATCTTAAAAACAATAAAATCCTAGACACACTTATTAGCAAATTAAGTACTACTGAATAGACTGGTGCTGAACACATGCATTGGAGGACACTGTTTTCGGTCTATCACTCTATGTAGAATGCTTTATTTAAAAGTCTAAGCATGAAGGAACTGAGAAGCAAGGAAGAATTTAACCAAACTATTGTGCAGTGCATTAAATTAAAATATTCTATATTTCATAGTTTTGAAGGTATTTCAGTTACTGCAATTTTAAGTAAGCAAACTAAGAAAATTATTCCATATTTTAAAGCCTATCAAAATTGCTCAAACAGAGTAACAAGATATTTTACTGGTACTGGAAATTATCCATTCCCGTGTTTTCTAAGATGGGGTGATCAATAAAGCTTTAGGCTTCCATGAAATGTGCCCGCCTTTTCTTCTCTGGTTTACTACCCAGTTTTTATAATGCCTAAATTGATTAATGCTCCTGGAAATGAAATATTCTGTAAGCCTATCCAAAAATCTCCTTCTCCAACCTCACTGATCTGTTTTAAGAGATTTGGGAAAAGGACATTGGTTCTGAAACTTTGAAAGACAGATGGCCATGCCATTTGCTAAACAATTCTATTTGAGGCATGTTCCATAGCCAACCACAAACTAATTCTCTATTTTATCCACTGCCCAACAACATATTGCATCTTTTTTATATACTCAGAGATATCATTCATCTTTACATGACTACAAGTCCCAGTTTCCTCCTGTTTCTTCACAATCATACATACTTTTAATGAAAAATATACAAATATAATTACATCTACTATCCCTTCAAACATCTATGTAATTAAATCAAAATGTTCTGTTACTTTGAAAATCAGAATCAAGGTTTCTTAAAATCTACTTCCATATCACAGAAGTAACTCCAATATTGTATAAGGCACGGTCAGTTCAGACTAAAAGTAATTATGGTCTGGACCTTCTGTATTATAACAGAAGTTTGTTAAGGTTTGAATTTTGTAAAGAGTGTTAAATAATTAAGGGGAATATAGACAACGTAGCCCCAAAAGTGTAGACTGTACTTAAGAAAATGAGGTTTGAACAGCTGTGTGCAAAAAGTCACTTCAAAACAATCAGCTAACTTTCCATCCAAGCCACCACAAATCAAGCTAAAATAACACTGCCTCAAAAAGGAATCTCTTTCATACCAAGCTAACACTGGATCATGGACATACTAAAGAAATATAAAACACTGGGAAGGAAGTCCTAGACTATGAAACTCCTAGAGAATAATGCAGTTATGGCAAACTGGCACCTTTCCAGACTCATTCATAGGCATTCTCCATGCCTAGCACTGTCATGCCCAAGCGTATCACTATGGAAGCAGCCCATGCTGCCAGCTGTTTGTGGGGTTAGCAAAAGTAATACAGAATATTTATGGGATATGTTTCATACTACAGCAAATTTGTCTGGTAGCAAACTGCTGGTATGTAGGAAGCATGCCAGTTGATAATGGGAAAACAAATAAATGAGAGAAATATAAATATAAGAAGCAAGAGACAATAATACATACTGTACACCAGATACCAACAACATACTAGGCCCCAAACACAACATGCTAAGCAGCAAAGAAACACAGTAGCCCAGAGGCAACATGGATTTTCCTCCAGAGATACAAACTGGCAAGTAGCAATGGTGAAGGTGAGAAAATCCAATATTTTTCATGTGTATCTGAACATGCTAAAGGCTAAAGACTGCTCATAGCTATAATGCTTTTTACTTTTTATTGGTGTATTTTAGAGATGCACTTTCTGCTTCTTTATTGTACCTTTATGGGATATAACCTCCTGTATTTTTAGAATTTATGTTCCTGCAATTTTGAAACATGATTATAATGCAATTTACCGTATTTTTCCGTATATAAAACAACACATTTTCCTAAAATAATTAGAGGATAAATTGAGGGTCATTTTATACACGGAAGGAGACAGTCGCACGTGTGCTCGGGTGCCTCTTGCTGCCACCGCTACCCAATTGCCTCTCAACTTGTCCCCTGCAATGGCCGAGGCAGCAGCAGCAAGAGCAGGTGGCGGAGATGGAGGCAAAGGAGCATTCACACACACTTGGGCACCTCTTGCTGATGCCTCCCCCGTCCGCCCGATCACCTCCTCCAGTGGGACTGACGAGGCTCAGCAGAAAGCAGAGGCAAACAAGCACTCAGGCGCCTCTTCCTGCTGCCACCACCGCCAGATCACCACCTCCACTGATCCTCTCCTTAGGGCAGAGGACAAGGCAGCCGTGAGCTGGAGATGAGCCCCGGCAGTCGCACTGGAGGAGGTGATCAGGGAAGGAGGAGGAGGCAGCAGCAGCAGGAGACAGAGGTGGAGGAGCAGTTGCCTATTAACTGCTCCTCCACCTCCATCAAGGGTCAAAATTAGGGGGTCGTTTTATACACTGGGGTTGTATACACAGAAAAATACAGTAAGTTGTGCATACAACTTAACTTTTGATTTTGAATGTACTTACATTTGTGATTCTTCATAGTTGTAAGAATTTTGGATGACTTACATGATTTGTAACTACAGCTTTTCCTGATAGCTATAAGAATTATTTTTAAGTAATATGCTGTTTAGCCATAGAAATTCAACAGGGGTGTGGAACTGGTAAAAGCCACTCCTAAAATATCTTGCCTTGAAAGCCGGGTTAGGGTTGGTAAAAGTTAGCTCTGACGTCATGGGATAACTATTTGTTTCTTTGTTGTTTTGACCACTTTGGTCATCCAACTGCCACCAATTTAAAACATAAGTACAAATAATAATATATACACAAGCACAGTGCCAACTTAACACAATGCTAGCAGATTAAAAAGTACAAATACGTACATTCTACCTTGCTATCCATATGAATGTTGTGTTTTTTTTGGACTTATATACCGCCCCATAGCGCTACAAGCACTCTCCGGGCGGTTTACAATTTAATTATACAGGCTACACATTGCCCCCCCCAGCAAGCTGGGTACTCATTTTACCGACCTCGGAAGGATAGAAGGCTGAGTCCACCTTGAGCCGGCTACCTGGGATTTGAACCCCAGGTCGTGAGCACAGTTTTAGCTGCAGTACAGCGTTTTAACCACTGTGACAGAGGTTATCGGATTTCACACTGACATAAGCCCTTTCACAGATAATTGCCAACTGTTACAGACCACCAGACTTCAATTACCATAAGAGTGTCATGAAGTTTTACAGTGCTCTGAAGTCATCGTTCAAGTATCATACTTTTGACCTTGACACTTTTGGTGAGCCGACCCTGACATTCTTGGCAAGCCAGTCAGGAGGATTGAATAATCAGATGAGAAGATAAGATACAGTGGTGCCTTGATTTACGAACGCCCCTACCTACGAAGATTTCGACTTACAAACAGCTCCGCTCGCAAAATTTTGCTTCGACTTGCGAGCGGAGATTTGATGTAAGAACTGAAAAAGGCAGGCGGAAAAGGCAGGAAATTCAAGCCGTTGGTGGTGAAGAGGCTGCTTCCTTTTAGGTCTTTCGCCCCAACGGTTAGAGCAGGGAACTTTTTTACTCCTGTGGGGCAAGATGCTGCTTTTTGCTTTTTAGAAAATTCTCGGTGGATTTTGCAGGGTGGGTTTTGGCTGAGGGAGGTTATGTTTCTGTGCTGTGTTGTTTGTTTTTGGGGTGTGTGGGTTTTTGTATGTGTTTTTTGCAGCCTTCGGGGCTTGCTCTGTTTATTTTTGGTTCTTTTTTTTTTATCCCCAGCGCCTTCTGATGGGGCTTTCTGTGTGCTTTAATTTATTTATTTGGTTTTTTTTTAAATGCTGGAACGGATTAATCCCGTTCCCATGTATTTCAATGAGAAATGGTACTTCGACTTACAAAAATTTCGAGTTACGGCCACTGTTCCAATACATATTAATTTCGTAAGTCGAGGCACCACTGTATTATACTGAGTCTGAACAACCTAGTAACATTTTAACCTTGCTTGTTCTTAGGAAACAAGCCCCATAATAAAAAGGGAAACTGAGCTCAATCGTTGGATCGGGGAAGATCTGCTTATGCAAAATATTATTTGCATAACTATAAGGTAGGCAAGCTGATTCCTACATACCTATTTCACCAGATGAAGACATTCTGGAAAGAAATTAATGCTATGAACTTGCCACCTTATTGATGACAAAAGTCCCCTAAGAGGAAGTTGCTGTTGTTATAAGCCATTAAGCTGGAACTGATTTATAGTGACCCTGATAAGGTTTCCTAGATAAGAGATATTTCAGGAGCATTTTTACCAGTTCCACACCCTCAGTGCATTTCCATGCATTTGAACCCAGGCCTCCTGAGTCCTTGTCTGTCACTCGATCCACTACACCATACTGTGTCTTCCTCTAAAATGGTGGCTCCCAGTCTTGGGTAATCCCAGATGTACTTGGACTGCAATTTCCAGAAACCCCAGCCAGCACAGCTGGTGAAGGCTTCTGGGAACTGCAGTCCAAGAACACCTGGGTTTTCCACGGTTGGGAATCACTATCCTCAGAGAAAGTGGAACACGCACATACCCCTTAACCTGGGGGCAGGCTGCTACTGTTACTTGAATTCACAAGTTTATTCATCCACATTAAAGTCCAAACTTCCTAATGTCAAATTACCCAGCATTATGTTTTTGACAATAAATCTGGTGCATTTATTAACATATTCTATCACCAATGTATATTGTTCTCTTTTTTTCCTCTTACTTGATGCTTTAGGACTCTAAATGGTATTAATAAAGAACGTAATTATCAAGATTACAACTTCACAATATACCAGCAAATGAACCCTTACCTGTTTACACCATCAACAGGGATATGAAACTCTAAGATGCACAGGTGCACATGGCTGCATCAGGCGTGTGCAGCCAAGCCGGTCTTTTCACCCATTTGCTTCTGATCACAGCCAGAATCCTGCACGCAGACACAGAGCCTCTGTGCAGCACTCCAGAATGTTGATCAGAGACATATGTAAAATTTCTTCAAATGTACATCTATGATGGATTTCATGACCTACATACACATATGCCACTACATATTCTGTATCTTTATACTGAACTCTTCTTCAATTGCCTTTTACAGATCTCTTCCCAATTCCATCATCAGTCTATACAGGCTGGACAACAAAGCTTACCGTTTTCCAGAAAAGTAAACTTTCAAAATCAGTTAACAATTAATTAATATTACAATCCAGAACAACCAATGTGCCATATTTACCTTTCTGAACATCCCTATCAAGTACTTCATCAAACAGTTTCTCTTGAACTGTTGGCGGCAGGTCTTCAATATCTGCAAAAAAACAAGACACTTTATTAGCAATACATTTGGGTATGACAAATGGGCTCAAGTATACAATTCACTGCATGTTAGCCATCTCAGATCTAGTTCACATTATATTACTATTATTTAAGGGTAAGAGAAAAATGTATTTATGTAGTGGGTGCTTAATACAGAATCCATGCCAAGTTGATATGAAATCAACTGCCAGTTTATTCAACTGTTGCACAAAAAGCATTGATGCCACTCATATGGCAGTTATAGAAATACAACACTGCCCTTCAGCCCTTAAAAACAGGCAGGACTGATCAGCCTCAAGTACGCTATATGAATTATACTATGCCTTATTCTATATATATTTATGGATTTTATAAAATTAATCCAGAATATAACAAAGACTCTACATGCTAGTGGCCATAAACTAACATATATCTGGTGCACTACAACCTAAATCATTCTGAGACACAATTATGACACACTGCTAATGATAATGGCTGTGCTCAACTAAATCAACCTCCACCTTTTTAAAATAATGTTTTAATTGTTTTATAGGGGTGGGACTTTTTAGATTTTTCTGGACTATAAATATCATATTTCTCCATTCTGGGAGTTCTATGTACTTTGCACACACTTTTCAAACACCTCAGGGTGCTGCACTTGGGAGAAAGGCCTAAATGAGAAGGCTGTGAGGCTTCACCAGGCCAAGCTCTGCACAAGCAGTTTGCTCAAAAAGAAAGCTTCCAACTGGCAGTGGGACAGGAGCACAGCTTGGCCTGGTGAAGCCTCAGAGCTTTCTAATTTAGGCCTTTTTCCCAGAAGCATCTCATTGAGGTGTTTAAAAGATACCTGCAAGAGAGATAAGAACTCCCAGAATGGAGAATTATGATATTTGTAGTCCAGAAATCCTGAAAATCCCATCCCTGCTGTTTTATTTTCAAATCTATTAAGACCTAAAGCATATGATAAATTCTTTCCCTAAAATTTCAAGTAAAGTAAATGCCATTCCAAAATATTACATTATTACTTCAAGCAACGTAAACACTGCTCCTTTTCTCTTTTCATTACATGCACCAAAAAAGCTGAATCAAAACATAATTATTCTCACTTAATAGAGTTGTTGAATTGTCTGTTTTACATTACATAATCCATTGAACCAGAACAAATACAGTATAAAACACAGAACTGGAAAAAAAGGAGTGGTTCTATTTTTTAAAACTTCTTAACAGAATTAGAATCATTTCTGTTATAAAAATACTATGTGGCAGACAAGTAATTCTCTACAGTATCTCAAGCACAATCCTTTCATGTTCATGAAATCAGTACTTACCAGGCAAAAAAAAAACCTTCACCAGAAGTAGCTCTTTTATTTTGTTACAGCAAAAACAATAGTCTTGTAGCACCTTAAAGAATAACAAATTTTGTTTTACATAAGCTTTCAAGGACTGCAGATTGCTTCCATCATATGCAGCAGATGAAGTTGTTTCCAACCTACAAAAGCTCCTGCCAAATAACGGTTGTTTGCCTTTAAGTGACCACAAGACTCTTTGTTGTTTTTATAGTTGTAAAAGTAACTTTAAAACATAAAGATACAAAGAAATACTGCAGTAAGGTATACAGCAGGCCCAGTATTGTTATTACCACAAAAATGCCCATCTATAGTACCTTAAACAGGAAAACACTGTATCTATTCATAACCTAGTCCATGACATTTGCCATCAAGTTGTCACAGGTTGGAAAGCTATCTTTCATTTTAGGCAGTGATCCCCAACTTTTTCCCAACAGCAAACCAGTTGGGGGGGGTTTGGCACGCCCGCAGGGGACAGAGCTTGCGCATGTGCATGTCGCGCTTGGGGGGGCACTCATACACATGCAAACAGTGCACTCACAGAAGGGCGGAACACACTCATGTGAAGGCGACAGTGCTCACAGGTGCCCTGCTCATGCGCACAGTGCATGCACAGGGGCAGAATGTGTTTGCACACATGTGCTTGCCGGCGCTAGCCAGGGGCACTCGTGGGGGGAGGAGATCTGTCTCCACGGCCCAGTCCTGGATAAGCTGTGCACCAATGCTGTGCACCAGGGGTTGGGGACCTCTGGTTTAAGGAATACCTACTGTGATAATACTATCAATGACTATAACCATTAAGCAATCAAAAGACACAGTAATTTTTTTGCTAGCACCAATGACAATAATCACCCAACAGTTACAAATATGGGTATGTCACAGCTACAATAACCTCTAAAGGTGCAGGTTACCAGAATGAAAATGGTCTAAGTAAGAAAACAGAGTTTGAATCCACTACTAAAATGCAGAACTGAAAAGCAGGTATGAAAGCACAGAAGTATGTCTTCATTTAATTTCCAAATAATCTTGCAAAAGAAAAAGGACAGGACAATCTTTCTACCTCTTCATCAGCCCATGTAGAATAAGGCCACATAGAATAAGAATTTTAATTATTACAAAGTGCTTTGAAAATTGTAAACACTATAATAGCCTGTCCAACAACATCTGTAGGAAGAGTTGGTGGCTTCACATACCCTTAAAATTATCTGAGAACTCTGTTACTTAACAGAGAAAATAGCACCCCATAATTACCTGCAGGTAATGTAAATGTTACGAGATCCGTTAGGAAATAGCAAGCAAAGTCTCCCTTCCGCTGATGAAGAGATGCAGCAATTTCACGCCGGATTTGTTCAGTAAGTTCTGGGCACACCATAGCTGGAATGCACTTAGCCGCATGTTGGGATACCTGTAAGAAGACATTTATGACTTTACTTGCTTTATAAATGAGTGGATCATACATATTAAATATCTAGCGTTCTTCCTAAAGACAGCTTCCAGTAACAACACCCTCTAAGATCAATAAACTATGTTGTCTGGCATGTTGTACATGGAAATTGAATAGCTGGATTCCAGTTTCCACTAACTAGACTCCAGTTGAGTTTTAAAGAAATGTTTGGCATGTCATCTAAATCTGAAATGTTATTTTGTGATCAGGAGAAATGAAGAAGCACTTGCCAGAACTATGAACATTCTTTGAATTGACGTAATTAATTCAGAAATGAAACAGCATCTCAATTACCTTATATTCTGCCAGTACCTCCTAACAAATTTCATGTGTTTCTAAAACAGATCTGATAGTAACAGAGTTGAGAAGTAATTCTGATCATCAAACTTCCTAGTATGCTAGAACACTAAGGACTACTTCACAGGAAACATTCTTCTACAGTGAGCCTACCTCCATATAGGAAAAATTCCTATGCAAAATAGACAGAAAGGGTCAGTTCCACTTTTTTTCCTGTATCAGAAAGATTATGTAGTATACTGTAGCATTATCTGTATTACACATTGCAATGAAAACAAGTACCTTCAAGGTCTTTTAATGGCTTGGATTTTTCAAAGCCATCAAAAAGCTCAGCTGGGCCAAGTAGGAAAATGTTACTCTCATCGTTATTTGTCCAGGAGTATCTGCTGATAATTTAGCTATCTATGGGATATAGATTTAAATATTCCCACATGAATACCTATACTGTGGTGAGTGTGTGAAGTGCCATCAAGTTAGAACCAACTTGTGATGAAATCAATAGGGCTTTTAAGGTAAACGAGGGTGTGGTTACACTGATGATAAGAACTATTTTGAATTGGGTTTTGCACAATCAAAATCATTTGGAAAATCCTTACTACGCAACACATAACAAAGCGCACTTTTTTGGCTACAAAATGAGGGGTTTTTTTAAAAAAGGCTGTAGAGAGATGGTTAATTTAACACACTTGTGAAGTCCATTCTTTATTAATTGCTTTGGAAAATGTGAATGCCCCTGTTGTATTAAATACGGCCTTTGTGGGGAGTCAAGGGTTTCAAATGATAGGGACATCGCCACCTGTCCATAGTAATTTTTTTAAAAACTTTACCACTGCATCACTTCAGCAATTTTTGTACTTTTACCTAATTACTGTCATTGCAACGATACACCATTTAAAAAAAAAACTTTTTTTTAAAAAAAGAAAGAAATGCACATGTTGCAAAGGATGCCTGAAAACCAAAGAATCACCGTACAATACTGACAGCAAATGGGAAAGATAAAGGTGCATGTGCTGGGATCAGTGACAATAGAAACTGCACAGTCTATAACACTGAAAATCAAAGGAAAAGAAGATACAAAATATTATCAAACATGGGACTTGTTCTATCAATGCTTAGAAGGACGTTGTATAGATTAGGAGTGTAATGTGTATTGTAGTTGTTTTAACAAATGATTATAAGCTGTACTCAGGTGGCACGATGTTAAATCAGCATGGATGGATTTTATATAATAAAAAGAAAATTTTAAAAAAAGAAACTGCAGTCTACAAACTTGCTGGCTAATGAAATTATTTAAAATCTCACATGTAGAAAGTTTTAAGTCCCTACTTTATATTGGAGCAAAAATTTTCATAATGAATGGGCACAGCAATAAAAAACCCCACATAACTGAAAACCAATTTTAGATACATCTGAGCTGAAACTGATACAAATAAGTAGTGTAACCATCCCCTGAAATATTTTAAACACTATTTTCACCACTTCCACCAACATCACCCCAGTGAGCTTCCACGGCAGAGGGGAGTTTGAACCCAGGTCTTCTAGCATTCTATCCCCTACACAACACTGGATATCCCTGCACTACCAGAAGTGAAAACTCACCTCTGTAAGCAGAACTGCTAACATATCTTGTCTTTGAAAACGGATAGCAAGATGAACAAGCGTGTATCCCACATCAAAAGCGGAAGGGCGATTCAACAAGCGTACTTCATCTGCAGTAAGCTGCCGTGCGATATCGCCTCCTGAAGACTTGTATGCCTCAACAGCAGCTAGGTCACCTTCTACGACTCCTACAGACATGGAACATCAGAAATTCTATTTTTAGCAGAAAATAGGCTCTTCTAAATTAAGTCACCATTTACCAAACTGGTTTCTTACTATACACCTTGGAATCCAAAATAAGTTACTCATGAGGCCACCAAACTGCAGTAGGATGTACGGCAAGATTATTTTTATCACACCCTTATGTCCGGAAGCCCTCATCTATGTTGTCCTCAAAACCTTGTCCTGCAAGGTATATTAAATGAAGTGTGTGATGAGCCCAAGGTTACCACGTAAGTCTCATGGATAAATGGGAATGGGAACCTCAGGGTTTCTCAGTTCTAAAGTTGCCATTAAGCAGTACTTCATAAAATGAACAAGGAAGTTGTCACTGTACTGAACTACCTGACGCAGCATATTTGTTTTAACATTCCATATTGGCTTAAGACATGATGAAGGGTCCTTACAAGGGGAGTAGCATGAACTGAAATGAACACAGCACAAGAACAGTCAGGCCATTCAAGCCTATTTACATCAACCTTTAACAGGAAACCATATGGTCACACCTTTGTATCAGGAAGAAGGCATAAGCCAACATATGTTAACATTATACAATAGCTCCTATCAGTTATCACAGATACAGTGTGCCTCGCTTAACGACGTTAATTCGTTCCAGCGAAATCGCTGCAGAGCAAAAACGTCGTAAAGCGAAATTTAAAAGCCCATTGAAATGCACTGAAAACCCTTCAATGTGTTCCAATGGGCTGAAAACTCACCGTCCAGCGAAGATCCTCCATAGGGGCGGCCATTTTCTAGGAATCTGTCCTAGAAAACAGCGGGGGGCCATTTGTACACCCGGCGGCCATTTTGAAAGCTGTTTTGAAAGGCGGCCACTTTGAAAGCTGTTTTTAGATCATCGTAATGCGAAAATCAGTTCCCAAGGCAGGGAACTGATCGTCACAACGCGGATTTTTCCCATTTAAACCATTGTTTTGCGATCGCTTTTGTGATCGCAAAAAAATTATCAAGCGATTTCCTCATTCAGCAACGCAATCGTTAAGCAAGGCACCACTGTATACTATATAATACATTGTAAGCAATATGAAGGATGGGATAGAAGGGCAGAAGAGAATTAAGGTAAGCCCTAATTCAATTAACAATGGTTATACTGATGAGATATGTCCATTAAAATACCTAATAACAGATTTATCATACACAGAACAGTGGTTCTCAAACTTGGCCCCCCAGATGTTCTTTGACTGCAACGCCCAGAAATCCTGGCAAGAACAGCAAGTGGTGAAGGCTTCTGGGAATTGCAGTCCAAGAACATCTGGATACCCCAGTTTGAGGACCACTGATATAGAATACTCCATTTCAAGCAGCTGGGGCTTTTTACAAAGCTCTTCTTATAGAAGATACTTCAACAAACCAGGAGTCTTAGTATGGGGGGGAAAGAACCACCTCCTCCTGCTCCAATACGGTAATAATCACAAAGTCATTCATAAACACCATCAATTTCACAGGTAATTGGAATAGAAATGAAGCTATTTCGACTAAATGCCAGAACACTAGCAAAAGCTAGGATAGGTAAGCATCTATTTGACTTCTAACTTAATGAGTAAGGGTTACTTTTGTACTTTTGTAAGCTCCTTTCTTAAGGGCCCCTTGTTCCTCCACATGTGCTTATCTAGAATAGGGGCCAGGAAACTTTGATGGCTAAGGATTGGATTGTGCCTAAAACCAAAAGGAATCTGAATTCGGTAACTCTTAAATTACATCTTTACTTAAGAGCAACAAATGTACTCAAGAACATGCAAGTTATTTTTAGTTAAAGGTCTTAAGTCAGGCTTATAAAAAATCTATTATGCTCACACTTGAGAATGGCATACAGATAGAAAGAGAAATGCGGAGGCCAACATTAGGTTAAAAGAGACTAGCTTTATAGACTATGCCTCTACATGGACAGCAATGCACCCTGCCCATAGGAAGAGGGATCTTCACAAGAAGGTCAGCTTAGAATAAGTAGCTAACAGCATACTACTCTTACCAACCATTAACACCTGAGCACACCACGTATACCACAGAACTGTGGACTCCATCATACATTACAATACTGGGGCTGTATGTGGCAGACCGAGAAGATCAAGAGCATAATAAGCTTTGTATATGTGTACTGTACCAATTCACTCAATTAATAACATTTGTTAAAAATGGAGCTACAAGCTGCTGAACTCTTGAGAAATCCAGCATCTAGGCTTCATGCAGTTTATGAGAAACAGACAAAAAGCTGAAGCTGAACACAAAAGAAATCATGTGCATTACAGGAAAGTAAAGGAAATGATTATATATTCTGAACTTGGCCTTCTCCACAGTATGAAACTGGTCCAGAAAGCATCAGTTTTCAGAAAAAAGATCAGAGAAAAAAGGGGAAACCAACCCAAGGCACTATGAATACTAATTTTGTTTCATGTACCTTTGCCTAATCAGTCTTGTTTTCTGAGCTATCGCTATTAGCAGTTTCTGATTCTTCTGATCCTTCATTTTTCTTATCATCTTCTAAAAACTAAAGGCTTCCCCAGACCAAGACAACCATCTCTGTTTTTCCACATCTACTTCAATTTTGTGTAGTACCAAACAACAACCAGTTTTTTCAGACTTCACAGAAAATGGAGAAATATTTTAAAAAGATAGAAAAGAAGATTGTTTTGCAAAGGCCTTGCCACCCGTTTGAAAGAAGGATGGTCTTGGCAGAATCCCAGATACCATTCCTGAACCAAACATCTGAAATTGTTCCATATTCCACAACATTTGGAAGACCATTTCCAACATCAAGTCCTAATAGTGCTTGGGGAATAAAGGCAAGGTAGCACCGTATGAGTTCCTTCTTTACTACAGTATTTGATAGTGTGCTCATAATAAAGGAGAGAATAATGGCAAATCTATGCTGTTTTTTAAAGGCAATAAAGACACCTTGCCAAAACATTAGACCTGCCCCATAACCAAGTTCCACTCATTGTCTTCAAGCTACACATATTGTCAATTTTCGATTACTGTAATTCCCTACCTATTCATTGTCTATTTACAAATTTGGAAAACCACATCCACAAAGATGGAATAAATTTAGTTATTTATATCAAAGTATTTCATCCCTTCATATAATATGGAAATCTCCAAGTGAATGATAACATTTTGATGCCATGAACAGAGACGTGACTGATCCTGGTGGTTCTGGTTTGGGGAAAACATGATTTACAAATTTTGACAAAAGAAACAAAGAGAAGTGGGCAAAATGCTGTAAAGATTAACCATTTTACTTCCGTGTGAGCTTTTGTGGATCAAAATCCAACCACTTTATGTTGGCAAACATCTTCTCCTACTTATAATTTGTTGAAGTATCAATAAAATACCTCATTAAATCATAAATTACAGCTGGCTTGATAGCTCAGTGATCTTGGTATCTGGCTGTGGAGCCAGAAGTTGAGAGTTCAATTCCCTACTGTGCCTCCTGGGAGAACAGCCAGCCTGTGTGGCCTTGGGCAAGCTGCACAGCCCCAGGATGCCCCAAGAAGTAAACGACAAACCACTTCTGTCTATCTGGAAAAACTTGAAAAGGGCTGCCGTAAGTCAGAATTGACTTGATAGCACATCACCACAACCAAATCACAAAAACTACACTACCGGATATTTAATTCTAAGAGAGTAACATCACCAAGGATTATAAGGTACCAGAACCTTCATCAACGTACAACTATAAAACTCCAAAAACAAACAGCAAAGAAATCAGGTCACTTTTCACTTTTCTTTCCCTAAGTGTGGAGGAGGAAGGAGAAGGACCACATTTAAAGCTTCAATTGCTTAAAAAAGTGCAGTTTTATGGAAGGCCAAAACAAGGAAACAAAAGATTGTGATCAGACTCTTTCTTTCAAATAATATGACTCAAGTCTGAACTACAGTGCTATACATCAACACTTGTAACAGCAGCCCAAACGCTGGTTTTGAATTAGAAAAGCTGCTTTAAATGTGAAGGAGCAAAACTGAAGGGAGCTGTTTAACACTTTCCCCTGCTCATTATCTCTCCACTCCGGAGCTTTCCTCTATCCCTGCTGCTCCTTTTGTCAAAATCACCTTCTGACTACAACCTAAATACAGTGGTGCCTTTCTTAACAGGCGCCCCGTTTAACGATGAAATCGCATACCGACGAACTTTTTGCGATCGCATTGCGATGTTTTAAATGGGGAAAATTGCTTTGTGATGATCGGTACCCTGTTTTGCTTACCGATCATCGTAAAGCCTTTTGTTTCTGATCATGGGGCATTCTTGGCAAAGATACTGGAGTGGCATTGCCAGTTCCTACTCCAGGTGGATTGCGTTTAGTCGGAACTCTCCACTATGTCCTGTCCGTCTTGGGTGTCCCTGCACGGCATAGCCCATAGCTTTTCTGAGTTACTCAAGCCCCTTCGCCACGACAAGGCAGCAATCCATGGAAGGACAGATCCTGAAGCTGAGGCTCCAGTACTTTGGCCATCTAATGAGAAGAAAAGACTCCCTGGAAAAGACCCTGATGTTGGGAAAGTGTGATGGCAAGAGGAGAAGGGGACGGCCGAGGATGAGATGGCTGGACAGTGTCATTGAAGCAACCAACATGAATTTGACACAACTCTGGGAGGCAATAGAAGATAGGAGGGCCTGGCGTGCTCTGGTCCATGGGGTCATGAAGAGTCGGACACGACTAAACGACTAAACGAAACATCGCAAAGCGATGGTTTTTTAACAGCTGATCGGCGGTTCCAAAATGGCCACCGGGTTAAAAAAAAAGGCTGCCCGCTGTTTTCTGGGACGGATTCCTCGCTTACCGGGCAGCGAAAATGGCCGCCGTATGGAGGATTTTCGCTTAAAGATGAGTCTGAAGCCCATAGGAACGCATTGAAGGGGTTTCAATGCATTCCTATGGGCTTTTTAATATCGCATAGCGACGAAATCGCTTTGCAGCAATTTTTGCTGCACCGATTATCATCGCTATGCGAGGCACCACTGTATACACTAAGTCAATGTTTCCATACAAGCAAAGCTCACAATAATGTTCAAATAGCTCTGAATAAATCAACAATTAAAATTCAGGCAAAATCACTAGAAAGGACTACCTTTCTCCAAAAAAAACAAGTAGCACATTTTTTCACACTTGAAATTAGTAAAATGCCTCTTTAGAAGTTTATCTTCTTTGGCTTTACTGTTCATACCCTCTTGGGAGTATAAAAAATAACATACAGGAGCAGGATATACAGTAGAAGAAGTATAAGGTTAATTAGCTAGAATATGATGCTGTTTTGTAAATAAAGGAAACAATACTAATTTACAAAGCTGAGAACTCCCAGAAGTACAAGCTGGATTTCGAAGGGGCAGAGGAACTAGAGACCAAATTGCTAACATGTGCTGGATTATGGAGAAAGCCAGAGAGTTCCAGAAAAACATCTACTTCTGCTTCACTGACTTTGCAAAAGCCTATGACTGTGTGGACCACAACAAACTATGGCAAGTCCTTAAAGAAATGGGAGTGCCTGACCACCTTATCTTTCCCCTGAGAAATCTATACGTGGGACAGGAAGCAACAGTTAGAACTGCATATGGAACAACTGATTGCTTCAAAATTGGGAAAGGAGTACGACAAGGCTGTACAGTGGTGCCTCACTAGACAGTTATCCCGCATGACAGTTTTTTCGCTAGACATTGACTTTTTGCAAT